TTTTTTCAATAAAAAGGAAAGAACAAAAAACAATTACCAAACACAATTCTATATTTAATTATTGAAAAAAAGAAAAAAAAAACGAAACAATAACAAAAACTAGAAACCTTATCGAATGCTACTTAATTTAAGGACAAAAAATGAGGGTAGATTGCACACATGATCAATCTATCTTTCCTTAACTGCCCATCTTATTCTATCATCTATGATCTCTATCTAAGGACAAAAACCGCACAACATCACAAATTAAAGTCGAGGGATATAATTAATTTTTTTTCACTTCTATGATTAAGTTTTTTTTTAATTTTTTTTTTAAAGATTATGGATTAAAAATTTTCAATTTAACCAAAACGAGTGAAATGTTTTCCAACTAACCTCGTTGGAGTATGTATCCGGTTGCTGCTGTACCAAAGACACCGGCGAGGACGCCTGCGGTGTTTGATAATCCCAGCAATACTCCCTATGTATGAAAAAACAAACAAACAAAGCATAATTAATCATATCAAAATGCCAATGTTTCATGATTTTTTTTGTTTTTTTGAGTGAGCTAATGGTTCATGTTATTACTTATCCAACATGCAATTTGCCACTCGTTTTAAAATTCAGGAGCAATGGTACTGCAGAAATATGTGGGAATTGGGAAAGTAATATGCAGTTTTAGCATTAAACTCACAGCATATCTTGGTCCGATGTCTTGGTGATTGGAGTAGAGACCAGATTGTGAAAACGCATCAGATCCCTGTCAACACAAGTTTAATTTATTGCTCAAACAAATAATTTTCAGTACATTCTAATCTTTATCATATGATTGTTGTGCCCACATAACTACAACCAAATTACAAAATGTTGGGGTGGGATTTCTATGGAGGAGAAGAAATGCAAGCTGGAAAGTTTCTTCCACTCCATTGAAACTTGGGGTGTCGTGGAAGGCTCAATACCTTAGAATCCAAAAAGGACGCTTTGGTTAATAAAGGTGCGGAGGGAACGTGTTCAAACTATGGTGGTCACTTGCTTAAAATTTAATATCCTAGGAGTTTCCTTGTAGTAGGGTTAAGATTAATCAAGGTATATCTCGAATCTTAGTCTTGTCTCAGCCTTCTTTGGTGCGTATTTTACAAGATGGACTTTGAGATTGTCAGCATATCTCCACCTGATGGCCTCTCTCACCATATGTTTGAGGCTAACACAAGGAGGCGGGGTGTTGTACCTTCGAGGCATATCATGGTTTGTATGCTCGGGCTCTAATGGTTCGGCCTCTCTCACTATATAAAGTACATATTTTTCTACCAGCAGTTTCTCTTGGTGTGCACCGTGAGGTCTTGGGCCTTCTTGAAACTTGCTGTTCCTTATCCTTCTAGAAAAAAGGCTAAAACTTAATGGAGCTACTATCTTTACCATCTTTTGGTGGATTTGGAGTGAGAGTATTGTAGGAACTTTTTATGCAGTTGTACTACTTTCTTTAATCAATCTAAGTTAAGATAATTACTTTCTATATAAGAAAATGGGAATACCTGACTGCATGCCATGCATAACACTGCCATGGCAGGTGTTCTAACATGACTCAGCTGAGTAAGGAAGAAAGCTGGTCCCAGAAATCCAATAGATTGCATTATCTGCATCAAAAAACGATCTCCCGGGATAATTATTTATCATAAGAAAGGAAAAAGGAGAAAAAGTTCATTAATAAACCTGAGTTAACTAGGCTAGAATCCCTGCATTTTATGAAGTAGAAATTGAAATACAACCTATAACTCCTGTAGGACACCAATTTAATTGTAAAAGGAGAAAATATAGTTCATGCAGCTGTAGACAGTGGGCAAAATGAAGTGCATCTTGTACTATATTCGTCTATTCGAAACAGATTACCCTATGAAATTTATGTAGAATATATCTTCAAGTTAATTATGGTGGCATGATACTTGTACAAACGAATTAACGTCTAGCAGATAACAGGGCAAATTTACTGTAAAGCTTTCCGAAGTACTAAAACGTAAAATTAAGAACGGATCATCATCCCTTCAATCATCCAATTACTTGAGACATAATTAAGTTGGAAAGAATCTTGCCTTTCGAACTGTAGTGATGGAAAAACCTCTGCTCACAAGCGTGTCTGCAATCCATCCTCCTATATTTGCAAAAACAGCCATGGTCAACCATGGCAGAACACAGAAGAGTCCAGATTCAGTGAGGTTGAACTTCAAAACCTGAGACAGGAACCAATAGTTTGATAGAAATGTTAGTGGCTGTGTCCCAATGCTGAAGCTGAACATACAATCATCGTTAACATAATTATCACGAATGGAACCTTCAATTCCACAATATACTGGAGTCTGGAACTGCAATATGCTTAATCTAATACAGCTTTTGTTATCCAGGATCAAAATTTTTTCTATTTGGACTTTTGTTCAAGCTTCAGTAGCGGCAAATAGATTAAAGGCACATGTAAAACTATTTAACTTGGTACACAACTCATGCACCAGGAATTGAGAACGAACTCTTTAGCGATTTGATTACTCATTTCTCGTGTTATTTTCTGCTATGTCTACGTGCAAGTCTATCATCAACTTGAGCTAAATGTTGAACCCTGAATTACCTGATTATAGTATGTGGGCATCCACGTCAACAGAATGAAGGTTCCCCAATTATGGCAGAAATGGGAGATTATAAGAGCCCACACAGGCGCTTTTGATAAAATTAGTTTCCACGGAATAACTTCCACAGGTTCCTTCGAAATGCTTCCATCATAGATAAACTCCTTTTCCTTTGCACTGAGACCTGGATCTTCCTTTGGAGAGCTATATGCCTGACAATGAACCAGAATGAGCGTGTAGGAGTGCCTTTTTTCTCTCTCTTTTTTTTGACAGGTAATAGAAAATTTTCATTGAAAAGACTACAAAAGGAAATGATGAAGGCAGAAAGAGATTTTCGATCCAACAAAATGATATGAGAAAAGCAAGTGCAACTCAAAGTTTACCATTTTTTGTTATTACCCAATCTTTTAACTATTCATTATGTAAAAAGTTAGAGGAAAAATTGACTGGCATGGATGTAATGAAAACTCAGCATATTCCTTCTCTCACTGCCTAGATCTTCTCTTTATGATGATTGCATAAAATGGATTATCTTTAGTAGAGGAGTAGAGCGATTAACTTGCATGTTTAATATTTTCTATTTGAATACCCAGTGTTAAAATTATAATTTAAACATAGTTGAAGAGAAAAATACTTTTGTTAGCCACAGTGCAAACCATATACTTCCAAGAGATCCAAATGAGTAAAACACAGATGGCCATCCAAATTTGTGAATTAGCACTGGTGAGACAGCCAATCCCGTCACAGAACCGAGATACATGCCACTATACACTAGTGCAAGTGATCTGCTTCTCTCTGATATGGGAATCCACTTTGATATAATATTGTTCATTGCAGGCATTGCAACACCCTGCAAAGAAGGCACAAAACATAAATAAAGAGATCTATCACGTGTTGTTACTCAAGAACAATTTTAGTTTACCAAAATTCGATCAGAGAATTTAATCCAGCTGAGTTGAACATTAGTTTGGTAAAAGAGATAAATAAAAAATAAAAAAAAAAGAAAGAAAAGACAGTGAAACTCAGATGATCATGATATGAGCACATGGGAACTGTAGAGAAGCATAAAAAGCCTACCTCACCAATTCCCATGAAAGCACGCATCATAAGCAGGAAAGGAAGCCCAATTCTTGCAGCAATAGGTGTCATTATGGTTGCTATTGACCACCAGACTACTCCAAAACCTAACACGAGCTTTCCACCAATTTTGTCTGCCCATATCCCTCCAACAATCTAATAGTGAAATCAAACATAAACACATCATATATGATACACTTCGCAATATCTCTAACTTAATCCAATGCATCAAAGTAACAAGATTAGTTATGTCGGGAGAAATTTTGGGTTGATCAATCTAATCAAACCTGTGTTAGAAGGTAGCCCCAGAAAAAAGATGACTGGATCAAGCCAACTGTTGCACTGTTCCAATTAAATTCTTTCGACATTGGAAGTATGGCAATACTCATGTTCACCTACAAATTATACATTTAGCTCAGAAAGTAAAATGTATTGATATTATTTATGGCAGCACATTGAAGACTGCAAGTTGAACCCATCCTTGACATATTGAGGATAAAATGTAAGATTGCCCCTACAAGAATACCATTTTATCTACAAACAGAGATGTATGCACGTGTGTTAACTGACCTACTATAGCCAATCATTATTTACTATCTAAGCAGAAAAAATATATTTATCAAGCCTTAAAAAATAAAATATTGAAGTTATCAAAGACGATTAATGATATTAACTGTAGATTCTTGGTGGACCATTGACCACAACTAAAAACAAACCTACATTAGGTCATTGTTTGGGTTTTACCACAAGCCATTCTTGCACACAGCCATTACGTTTTTATACGGGGATATCTTAAGGCAGCAATCCTAATGGAAATAAGGACAAAGTAATAATTGTTTTTTTCTTTTTTGAGAGACTGTTCAATAGTTCCATGTTCTTCAGGCTGAAAACAAATGAATTTGATTCAAGATAAGTGCCAAGTGAAAGGGAAAGGCATAATACTCACACGATCCATATTGCATAGCAGAAAAGCTAAGAAACAAAGCAATACAATCACCCAGCGTTTGGGAAAGCGCTCCCACCAAGGCGATACTAACTGCTCATTGCCTTCAATAAAAAGTGCATCACCTGACCCCTCTGCCAATGCCAACGCATCCACATCTCCTTTTGTTATATCAAAGTCATTTGATTTGTAACGAGCAGAAGTTCGGTTGACCTTAACATGCCGAGACTTTTGGCATTGCCACCAACTAGGTCCACTCGTTAGAATGCAAGCAGTAGTACAGTGAGGAGAACATCTGCATTTTCTTCTTGGCCAACTGATGGTACTTTGGATAAATGGCAATCTTGATCCAGCAGTTTCATCTGTATAAACTCTCTGTGACTTCAAAAGTTTTCCATCTCGGGCTCGAGCATGAAGAAATGTGGAACATGAGATCCTAGGACAAGAACTATTTAATCTGAAACCAAGTGACTTTCTAGAAAACAAATTCGCCTGTCCATATCGAGCCGCAGAGATAACCGAACGTTCTACTGCATGGTGAGAAAATGCTTTCTCTGTCTTGCACGCTTTTCCTGCAAACATAAGAGTGAGAAGCAAATGTGTTTTCTTCACGGCCATTAAATCACATTTAAATTTCATATATACATATATATGTGCTACCTTTAAACGCGAAGATTTAACAGACACCACTATCGGAACGGTACTCAATACTGTCATAATCTTTTATCCACGAATAATCAATTAAATTGAAACCACAATAACAAGGTTGATGCATTCAAATTAGCGTTAGACCATCAGAAAGTGCGAATAACTAGTAACATTCTTGTTCAAGAAAATATCCAAGACTCCTTTATTATCATATGCAACAAAATTAGCCATACATGGACCTTTCATACCACCAAGCATTATTACTCCTGAAATCTATATAACGGTAGTGCAGCAAATCAAAATGACTGAATTACGAACAATTGTCCGAAAGAAAAATCAATAGAAAGCCAATCATCGCAGAAAATATCATCAGCTAACAAAAAAATTCCGTGAAGTTAAGTCTTGTTCACTTCCGGATTTTACTTGAGACAAAAACCTTGAATAACCGAAATGTAGAGGAATATTAAAGAACAAAATGCAGCTAAAGCAGCAAACAAGTTTTCATTGCATAGCATACAAAAAAGGCCTGGAGCAGGAAGAAAATAACACGGACACTACAAATTCAATTCTGCATAAGAACTGACCAAAATTAGATGAGAAGAATAGAAAAATACCTGAGCCGACGAAGGAACCAAAGTTCCGATTAGAAACCAAACTGCCGATGGCCATTTTCAACAGAGGAAAGCTCCACTAAGCTACTGAAACTGAAGAAAAAGAAAAGAACTACTGTTTATGAAGAACAAAGCGCATGGCTGATGGCGCGGCAGAAGATTATAGTTATCTCCGTCGCTCAGTCTGCAGCCTGCAATCCTCTGACGTTGTTGGAGCTGTAGAAGAAGATAAGCAGTGGCCTCTGATTTAGAGATTCATATTCCTTTCCGTCTCTCTCCTCTTCTTTTTTTTCTCTCTCTCAAGAAGCGGGAAGCAATTTGGTGTGAATGAATGACAAAATGGTGGGATCGAGAGATGGACACGTGGCCCATCATCCTCCGCGTTATGGAGGAGCACGCCGTAGATAGCAGGAAAAGACAAAAATACCCTTCTATCCTATTTGATTTGACCCTTGTAAAGGAGAGTCCTCCTCAGTCCTCACCCACGACTCAATAGTCAATAGTCACTTGTTTTCCTTTTTTATTTTTTTGTTGTTATTTGTTATGATTTTTTTTTGCCAAATTGCTTGAACCATACTTAAAATATGAATTGATTGTTATACTTGTAACCACTCTCAATTGTAAAAATAAAATTCTTCAACTTTTACGATTGAAAAAATTACACCTCTAAACTTTCGGTTTTAAAAAATAAGTCATTGAACTTTAGTCAATAAAAAGATTAAATCAATTTTTACTCTCTCTCCTCTGATTCTACTCTCTCCCAGTGAAAAATTTAATTACCATCTCTTATCATTCATGGTGTCTTTGTCGTTCATCATCATTTTGGTAAATACCTAATTTCGATCGTTCTTTTTAAAATTTTGATTCTATAAGTCATCAATTAGATCGATAAGATGAAATTGAAATAGAAAATGCACTAAGAAGTAAGAAGTTTTGGGCTGTGTATTTAGGCCAAGATTCTATCACTGCTCCAAGTTTTGAGTAACCTCAAGTTTCTAGATAGAAAGTAAGAAGAGATGATAAAAATTAATTTAATTAATATTTTAATCTACAATAGTTTAAGGGTTTGTTTTAAAAAATTAAAAGTTTAAGGATGCAATTTTTCAACTTATAAAAAATTTGCCCATTTTTTTTTTATTCTACCACAACATCTTCGATAAGAGATAAGCTAAATGAAGGTGACTATTCTAAAAATATTTTAATTTGCAGTTAGATTTTAAAAATATGGCACCTCCTTTGGTGTGACAAAAAAAATATATGTGCAAACATTCAAGAATCTCTCCAATTTCAATTTCAAGAATCTCTCTAATTTCAATTTCAAGAAATAAATATCTCATGTGAAGTAAATTATCTCTCACTAAGGGGAAAAAAAACAAAATTTTTCCCGATCTGAACTTAAACCGAACATTTTCAGGTTGATTCAAGTTTTATCTGAAAAATGACCTGAACCGACGAAATTACACCCCTAGATTTTAGAACTTTTTGAACTTCAACTCATTCGGTAAAGCAAGCATGAAGGAAGGCGGCATAAGAGAGGCAAAATCCTATGCATTGTTATATACAAATGGCATGTAATTTCATGTTTTCTTTGTCACAAATATACAATCAGATGGCATTTTTTACGTATCTTCATAACCGTATAAGCTATATACATTCAAAACACACCAAAATATGAACTCTATGCTTAAGGAAAACAGAAGAGGGGGAGGAACACATGAAAGAATAGAATAGTTGCAGATACTGCAATTTTCTGTCTCCCCCTCTTTTGTTTTCCTTTCCTCACATTCTTCGACCGAAAATGGGAGTGATTCAGGTTTCAGTTCTGTTGAAGCCATTCCTGGATAGCAGAACGAAGAGCACGGTTTGGGACGAGGTTGCGGTGCTCGAGCCTAAGATTCGTCATTGGGGAAGTATCATGTCCACTGTCTAGCCATCCTCTCACGGCTTCTGCTTCGTATGTAAAACCATCTGCAGCTACATGTGGGTCCTGCATGACTTCCTGTGAATTTGCAAGTCTTGAAGTTAATTTCAGTTCATGAAATGGTGATAAAGTTGAATGAAAACACCGAAAAACTAGTAAAAGATCGAAACTCAAACACGTTAGGGTGGGTGCAGGATGATTTACTTGGAAGATGGGACAGATGAAATAAGGGGGAGGTTGAAATGGTTCTGCAGAACCAAGCTGGACGGACAATAAGCCACCACATGAAGCCCTCATTGGTCCAAGCATCCTCCAGATGTCAGTAATGAGATCGGGGCGGCTCTTTCGGTTCATATCACAACACCTCAGTGCCAATCGAGCAAGCTGTTCAGCCTGGACGAAAGGCCAGTCTCCAGCTAAAGGATCCAAAATGGACTTTAACTTTCCATTTCCCAGTGCATATTGCACTTCCTTTGATATCCCCATTGCAGATCTACCGGTCAATAACCGCAACAGTATTATCCCGAACGAATAAACGTCTGACTTTGTTGTTAGCTCTCCAGATGAAAGGAATTCAGGATCCATGTAAGCAAAAGTTCCCTTAGGGTTGTCAGTTCTCCAAACAAGCGTTTCGTTGTTGTTTAGTATTTCATCCCGAGACAACAAGCGACAAATCCCGAAGTCGCCAAGCTTGCAAACATAGTTTGCATCGAGTAAAACATTTGCAGGTTTCAAGTCACCATGTATGATGCTATGGGGTTTACTCGAGTGAAGAAACATAAGAGCCGAGCATAATTCAGTGGCGATGCGTATTCGTGTTTGCCAAGATAAAGGCGGAGTATTATCCTTGCAGCTGAGCCTGTCTTCGAGGCTTCCGTTACATAGGTATTCATAAATGAGAATCCAGGCTTCTGGGCAGGCTCCAATGAGTGTGACCAGATTGGGATGTCTCATCTTACTCAATACATTAACCTGATAAACCAGATAAAACAGAGATAAGAGAACCAAAAGTTGGGTTAACTCAAATCTCTTTCATAATTATCCTTTACTTTTGATGACCAAAAGTTGGTTCCTTGTTATAAGTTCTTTTTGGTACCCCTCACTTTTGGTGGGCTTTTTTGTTTTCTTTCATTTCTGGAAAAATACAAATGATTCACAAAATTAAACAAAAAATGAATACAAATTTTGAAAGAAAAGGTTTACCTCTTGTTGAAATTCAGCGGGGCCTTGAGAGCTATCAGGATGAAGGATTTTTATAGCCACCATAGTATGACGCAAAAAGCCTTTATATATACTCCCATATCCCCCTTCTCCGATCTTCATTGAAGGATCAAAATTTTTAGTTGCTTCCTCAATCTCCCGAAACGGGAACTCTGTAAAGAACTGCGGAATGTTTCGGCCTGAGTATTCATTTTTTCTAAGATCCTCTGCTTCTCTAAGTGCATTGTCACGTTGAATCTGCAGCTCCTCTCGCTCTCTTTTGTAACTCTGTAACAAGTCAACAGCAGAAAGAATCTTTTGCTCCAACTCCTTCACCGTTAGGTCAGATTCTGAAAGTTCTCTCTCAAGACTTGCCTTCTGATCTTGGGCCATCCGGAGTTCTTCCATCTCTTCATTTAGTTGTTTCTTTATACTTTCAAGTTTTGCCTTTTCCTTTGCTAGTTCTTGTTCAATCTCCTTCCTATGGTTCAATTCTTCAGCGTATAACCCTTCTGCAGCTTTAACCTTTATGTTTATAAATGGAAAGGTAAATATGTTATGATTATACTGATTAAGCAGACTGGTGTAACACATAAGAAATGATTCACACTCCTCGCATTAAGCTCATGGCCTACACTCACTCATTTTCGAAAGGCTTTCCCACCTCAAAGGCCAATTTTGAGAGACAACAAGGATTTTAAATTATTAAGTTTTCTATGGCAAAAATAGTTCTAATATTTCCAAAGCTAAAACATATTTGCCTTTTAAGCATGGAAGTACACGTAAAGAACTTGCATGCCATATCTGATACATAATGAATCAACTTCAAGACTTAAAACAAGAAACGTTTGGATTCAATATATTGACCTCACCCTGCGTAGAGCATTAACAGTCTCTTTCTCAGATTTTCTTCGTGCGATTGCCTCTAAAAATGCTTCACGCTTTGCATGAGCAGCCTCCATCATCATCCGTTCACATTGATTGTAGAGGCAATCACTTGTTTTCCCATCCTGCTAAAATTAGAGGGAATTTTGTTGGTTGTTTTACTTGGGGGTTAAAGAGGGTGGGTTGTAGAAGAGAACAAAAAAGAATACACAGGCAAATAGAGAAACAAATTTAAATTTGATTTTGTCATGACAACAACTGATGATTAGTAATTCTGGCCAGCACATCTGATTGAGAATAACTAAATTACATGTACACTTAAAGTTAAGAAAATATCTTTACCTCCAGCCCATTTTCACTTAACTCAATCCTAGAAAGTGGAGATGGAGCCATATCAATCACACCACGAGGAGAGCGTACGGAATTTTCTGACTGTTCATAAGGACTCCTCCTTGTTAATAAACCCCATTCATCAAAAGCCTCATTAACAATTAAGTTACTCTCAGTTTGAATCCCATTCATAATATTTGGAGAAGGAGAAGGAGAAGGAGAAGGATCTAGTATGCTCCCTCTAAAATGGTCAACAAGTAATGATCTCCCTCTGGGACGTAAATTCGAAGATGGACTTCCAACTTCCCTGCTGCTAACCTGCCCCAGTGGCAGTGACTGAGATCTCCGGTGGCTAATTTCTGAGGCTTCAGTATCTGGACTTGTTTGTGGTGATGAGATGGTGGCTTCTACTTGAGCTCCATTTGAACTACCCTCCCTGGTACTTGTGTTAATCAGATTACAAATTCGAATATTTTAACACACTTCAAGTCAGACTATCTGAAGCTCCCAAGCAATTTCACGCAAAAGATTTGCGAGGCAGTAAAAGATAAGTAAAAACATTTTCTTTGGGAATAAAAACAATCAATGTAGTTATGGGTAGGCACATGCATTTTAATGTGTCCAAATATCTAAATAAATCTGCAAGGCAGCAAGCAGTAATTAACCTGATGCAAATGAGGTTCCCCTTGCAAATAAACTCAATGTGACAGAAAGCCGGTGCCTTTGAACGTACATAAATGGCTTTCTTAGATTTCAGATCCATCATTTTCCTACAATATTCATCATGATATGTTAAACAACCATAGTTTAAATGTTCATAAAGTTCTGAACCAATAAATCTCTTCCTTATCCGATTTCAGCTCAACAACAAAATGTCAGAGGAAAATGGTGAATGCTAAACCCATGATACATGTGCATAAGAATGTCACATCAACCAGGAATGAGGAAGTGGCTCAGTTTAAAAATATTAACAATAGCAACTGAAACACCCAAAAATCTAGTCTTCAGAAAAATTGCAGTTAATAAGCTCTCATTTTCTATTAATCAATAAAAGCCATCACATGTAAAGCTGAATAACGGATGCAAGGCCGATACATATAAGCATCATTATATGCCTAAAATTTTTCACACACATGTCGGATTTCTATATCATTTCTCATACATCCTAAATGTGGTTTGAAAGCCTTTCTTAACGACCATCAGTATTTTCGTAAGGACTATCAGCATTTATTTGCCCTTCTTTGGTTAAAAAATATTTAACAACTATTTTGACTGAAAATAGCCATGTCTGTAAAAATGAACAAAAACAGTGGAAATGCACGCTAGATGAGGTAAATCTAGGGACGCGATATGGTAGTTATGTTATAGTTAAAGTCTCCAACAAAAAAAATGCTACAGTTGGAGAACTAGATGGATGTACATCAAACTGAAAATGGCTAAGGGTTAGTTTTCACCTTGAATAGTACTTGTCTACAGCTGCTCCCATAACAAGTTTCTTAATCCTGTGCAGAGAAATCAAATCAACTATTCCCTTTTCAATACTCTCAGCTTCAGCACATAATTTATCAACATGAACCTGTTTAATTTAAAATTTATATTAGCAAAATAGTAAGGAGGTACAGAATTCAAAACAAATTGATGACAAGAAGACCTACACAACAAGCCTGTGATGAAACTCAAGGTTGGGTATCATTTTTAACTAACCCATTATTTAAAAATAAAGATCTAACTGAACCCACATAAACAGGCCAATAAGAAAATTAGACTGAAGGATGTATACCCCTTCTTGAAGACAGTAAAGAATGTACTCATTCATGACCCTCGGCAAATTTTGCTTCTCAAACTCACGATATGCTCTCACTTCCTCCTTCTCCAATGAGTTCGCCGGAAATTTTGTTCCCACTAGCCAAGGAAACCAAAGTTTAATCACGTAGTCCACATATGATGCAAACATAGAAAAGTACAAGTTTCTTCACATAATTCATATTGTCTACAGATCAGACTAGAACATAAATTAAACAACATGGGACATGAAAAACCAAAAATCAAATCACCATGATGGATAAACCACCAGTTCACCGCAAGGACACACATACAGAATATACAGTTTTCATCACATAACTACAGGGAAACAGGAAGATTCATGCCGAGTTCTCTGTGTAAACGAAGACTTACTTAGTGGAATCATCTGTGCAGGGACATGAACATGTAGTAGGCGAATCTTCTTCCTACGTAACGATTTTAGTGCATACCTCAAAACCGATTGGCACTCTTTCACATCTTTCCCAACAGCCACACAAATTATATCTTCACCAGTAGTTCCCGCAGGCTCTTCTACAATTTCTCTGCTTGAGCTAAACATAATTGGTGAAGCTTCAGCATGATTAGTTGGACCAGCTAGAGGTGTAGTTGCCTGCATAGGACTCACGATCGCCATGACAAGAAACTCCAGGATACTGTACCATCAAAACTCCATCCCAACTTAACCCAATTATATTTTTGCAAATTTCTGCCTCTTCAGAACCATGACAGTTGAACTAGTAAATTCCCAGTTGGATAGTGAACTCATGTTATGGATTCCCCGGCCTAATGCCCATGTTGAAAAAGAGGGGAAAAAGAAACAAAAGTGGGGAATCCCAATCAGATAAAGTTACATACAACAAACTACTTTCGCTTTTCCACCAAAAGTATGAACCTCTCCTTTTTTTTTTCAACCACCTCCGTCCCTCCGTCTCCGCTCTCTCTATCTCTCTCTCTCTCTCGCCAATTTCTGAACAAAATGAACTCAACCATCACAAATCAAGTAACTCGGTACAGCTTAAACGATTCTAATCGCAGAAAACAAGCTCATATCGACTAAGAATTCAAGAAATTAACGAGAAAAAAGGGCTCAAAAGTCAAAAGCGCGAAGAGAAAGGGAAAAATCCTTTCAGACTTGCGGTGAAGATTTTGATATGCTGGGTCCTAATAGCTGTTTACTTTGGTAAACAAAAAGGGTAGTTTGTCTTTGGCGCCAATGAATCAGCGATGAGAACAAAGAGAATGGCGCTATGGAATTTGCAATGTAAAAAGAAGAGAAAGCGAAAGCAAAATACAAAATCAACACATGGCTCTGGTAATCAAACGCCCAGTAATCCATTCCATTTCATCCATTTTTCTTACTCGGCCGCTCTCTCTCTCTGTTTTTCCGCATGTCGCGATTCGCCGATTCCTTGGAGGAGAAACTTCGAGGAACCGACGCAGCAAGATCTTTCCAAATTTTGTTCGAAGATTTAAGGGAAATTGGGATTTTGACCCCTCACAGTAACCACTTTTGACTTTTGATCCCTTTTGATTTTTAGACCCCTACACCTTTCTGATCCCTCCCCTTATTTTGCTTTGTAAAATTACCAAGTTACCCTCAATTTAAAAAAGAAATCAAACTCAACCCTCCCCTCATTTCCCTCCCTGTCTCGGTCCTATCAGAGCTTTCCCCCTTCCCTAATTGAGGTAATTTTTCTTTCGAACTCGCGATCTTATTGTGAATGATTTTCTACCTTTTTTTTCTTCGTTCTTTGCGTGGGTGTKAATGATTTYAACCTTCRGCTCTATCTGAAGTAGCCAAGGTTATTATGAAGTTTGATTTATTGTTGCTTCCATTGTTTTGTTTTAATTTTTGACTTTCAGGGTTCCATCTCGGCTTTAAGCCCGGTGGATTTAGGACCGGGATGAAACCCTGAAAGTCCATTCCAGAAGGATGGACTTTCTGGATTCCATCTCGGGCCTCATCCCGGTTCGAAATAGACCGGGATGAAGACCGAGATGATATCCAGAAAGACCATCCTTCTCTTTCTGGATTCCATCTCGGGCCTCGTCCCGGTCCATTTCGAACCGGGATGAGTCCCAAGATGGATTCCAGAAGGATGGTCTTTCTGGATACCATCTCGGTCTTCATCCCAGTCTATTTCGAACCGGGATGAGGCCCGAGATGGAATCCAGGAAGTCCATCCTTCTGGAATGGACTTTCAGGGTTTCATCCCGGTCCTAAATCCACTGGGCTTAAAGCCGAGATGGAACCCTGAAAGTCAAAAATTAAAACAAAACAATGGAAGCAACAATAAATCAAACTTCATAATAACCTTGGCTACTTCAGATAGAGCCGAAGGTTGAAATCATTCACACCCACGCAAAGAACGAAGAAAAAAAAAGGTAGAAAATCATTCACAATAAGATCGCGAGTTCGAAAGAAAAATTACCTCAATTAGGGAAGAGGGAAAGCTCTGATAGAGACGAAGTGAGGGAAACGAAGAAGAAACGACGGAGATGAACTTTCTGGTTGTGAGGGAGAGACCGGGATGAAGACTGGGATGGACAACGAGATAGTGAATGAGGGAAGGGAAGGACCGAGACAGGGAGGGAAAGGAGGGGAGGGCTGGGTTTGATTTCTTTTTTTAAATTGAGGGTAACTTGGTAATTTTACAAAGCAAAATAAGGGGAGGGGTCAGAAATCTGAGGTGGAGGGGTCATAAATAGGTAAAAATCAAAAGGGGGTCAAAAGTCCAAGTGGTTATTGAAATGGGTCAAAAATCCCAATTTCCCAAGATTTAAACAGAAAGGAGTTTGGGAGCAAGCAATCTCCCATTTTCAAACAAGTCGAGTGACGGGAGAAAGTCCATGTGCGGTAACTCCTATTTCATACCCAATAAAAATACGTGCCATAGACTCCTACTGCACCATTGTAAGCCTCTTTTAGAAGGTTTTTTTTTCTCAATATTTGGAGTAGAGATTCGAACTCTCGACTCCGTAGTCGGATACTGGTTTTTGAATCGTGTTGACAAGTCTATTTTAGAAGTTAAAAATGGTCATTCCACATATTTTATTGTCATCCAACCTTATATTTTTAAGGTCCAGTGACCAATAAAACTTAGTTGAACAAGTCTATCTTTGGATTTTCTGTAAGTGCAGAAAGAGATAATTTTTGTAACACTTTTTTATTCATGATATTTTATTTAAGAAATAGGTAAAATTACTTTAAATATCACGAACATATGTGATGTGCTACCCAATAATCTTATTTTTCCTAGATTTTACTTGACTATCTACAGTGTCATGGCGTGTGTTGAAATATCTTACTATTATGATTTTTTCTTCTAATTCTTTTTTCCGTTTTACACTCTTCAAATGGCAATTGTTATTGTCGATAACCTAGCTATCGACGTCATATGAGTTAGATTAACTCGAAAAAGATGCGATCAAAGTAGATAAAATATTGTTATCATTTAACAGATCTACCTCTCATCATTGTTAAAATCAAAATATATTAAAACGTAATAAAAATTAATCTTTTAAAAGTTTTAAAGGTCATATCTAGTCTTTATGGCTTACAAAATACGATAGGTACTTGTTGTTAATTAATTCATTGACGCTTACCATCGATTGTATTGTTTACGTACGAGTGGCATACCAATTTCAAATAACTAAGGTATTTGCTTGCATAGGTACTAAATTTGTAAAACCTACACCATTGACTCATTGTCAATAAACAATTAAGATCTCTCACTACCTAAAGATTCAATTTCCCGTCCCTTAAGCTCAACAAGGATACGACCTGTCATCCAAATCATTGGCTTAGGCTTCATCCTCTGTAACTCCTCTGACTCAGCTTTTGCAGCAGGTTCCAAGTGCATACCTCTTGCTTACCCAGCTTTTCTCACATAAATTCATAAATTCTGGCTATTCTTGAAGGGCCTGAGCTAGTCATTTTATAGGGGTTGCTCTCGGCTTATTGTTGAATCGGATGCTCTTTGTGCTGTATCTCTCCTCACCAACGACTCTGGGTATCTTGGAGAAAAGCGGGCTTGTATTCCTGAAATAAGAGCTAAATCCAGCTCTCTCCTCTCCTGCTCTTTCGTGCATGCTCCTCGTGATCATAATAAGCTTGCTAATTCTTTAATCAATTTTGGTCTCTATGTCTGCAACTCTGTATAAATATTTAATAGAAATTTGATGTTTATTTAATTCAAACAAAAATTAGAAAAAAAATCAACCCGAACATAGTTTAAGTAATAACGTCTACTCCGATGCTATAAAAATTATATTTTTCTTAGTTAAATAAATAAATTTGAGATCATCTACCATGCTGGTTTTGACAAGTATTTTGTTGTTTTGTTTTATCTTTTGCCTAAAAATTAATAATAATAAATCAAACACTGTTTACATAATTTCAAGCTTTTGTAACTTTTTTCTTCCTTTTTTGTTTTTCCACATAAGTACACCTTTATGTAAATTCAATTTTCTGTCGTCGGAGTTGATTTCATACTTGAGCTTGAGCCACACCAGATGCAGTCCTCTAATTTTATTTTTTCTGTACATAAATGATTAAATTGTAATTTTAATCGTTCAAAAAATATATATATATATTTATTTATTTATTTTATTATTATTATTATTATTATTTTATAACGTCTATATTTGCTTATCCAATACTTAGATTTTAATTTAAGCTGTGTTTAAATACATGTTCACATAAACACACCTTTTTATATTAACACGTTTAGCTCCATATTATTAATTTGTTAAAATAAAAATAAAATTGATTAACTTTTTAAAGTGTAGACTTAAAATAGACATTTCGAATGCTCATGAATTAAAATAGAATAAACTTGAAAGTTCATAAACGAAGATAGAAATTATCTTAAAAATAAAAATAATCTTAAAAGTTTTAATACCAAAATTCCAACCTAGAGTTAGATCGACGGATTAAAACACCTATTTCTTATCAAACGACTATAAATTCGAATCTATACTTTCACGTTTTATTTTTTTCTCTTTTCTTTTTTTTAGTACCACGTATTGTTGTATTCAAATTGAAAAAAAAAACACATAACAAAACAACATTTAAACCATAAACCTACCTTATCCAATATCATTTACTCTTTTGCCCTTTAATTTTATATTATAAAGTAATTACATTAGACGAAGCTGATAAATAATAACTTTTTTTTCAATACAATATACACGAGATATATTAGAATTCGAATCTTTGTTCTCAAATGTAGATGTTAATTACTGTAAAACTATATTCATCTCGGTAAATAACAATTATTTTTATTATTATAAAGTACAATTGTCTTATTAAAAATTATTAAAAAAATAAAGAAAAAAGTTGTCTCGTTAAAAAGTGGGATTGAAAAGGTTCATATGAGATGATTCTTTATTATATATACATGCATGTAGAAAGGACCCCGTACAATTTACTTAGGTGCGAAGGAATTTTATAAGATGGGTTTGGATAAGAGTGAGAGAAACTTACCCGATCCAAAAAGACGACCCGAAGCAAATTGATTCGAGTCCATTCAATTTAGATGACCATACGTACCAAATCAAACCAAATAATTTTGCTATAATTTTTTTTCGAAATGTCGGGAGGATTCGTACTCACAACCACTCACAACCTTTTGATTTGAGGTATATGACAATTATCATTGATCATTGAGTTATACTCGGTTTGACAACAACTGTTATTTAATTAAATAATTGTGGAGGTAGAAGAGGATAATATATGTCTTATTAATTCCCTAACCAAAAACCTTAATAGTTTATTGTTGCATATATTTAGTTTATTCATGTTATATTTGTAATTTGTTAAAATTGCAATTATCTTATATCTAATTTTATAGTTATATTTTTAATTGATGAATTAAATTGTCAATGAGAACATGACTCAATTGTTTAAAGTATCTATCTCCGATTCAAAATATTCGTGAGTTCAAATCTCCACCCATATATAATTATATATTAAAAAAGACTAATTGAATTGTAGTATTTATAAGACCATTAGTTAAGTCTAACATTTTTTAAATTAATAATAATAATCTGATCATTCATGAAGTTATTTGAAATAATGGATATAAAGTTGAAAATAATATATATTTTATAAATTAAATGGCAGGTTAATTATTATTATTATTAATATAAAAACGTGAAAATTTGAACTCACAATCTTATAGTACCTTAATCAGTTTAGGTTGGTACATACTAATTTGAATATACTAAGGAATTACATATTTATTATGAAATTTTCAATGTTTAAATATCAATCCTATTATAAATAATAGGAATAACAATACAANAAAAAAACCTGTTTGACTCTAATTAGTAGACAACATGCTAAATCTCCAGTTTGTGGCTAAGTTTGATTTTAAATTCAGAATGAGCAAGTTTCCAGTTATTTTCATATTTTAAAAATTGAACGCGTACCGTCTTTAATTAAAACTAACAATAATTTAATACTTGACTAAAAGGTCACAATATATTTTGTCCGTATCTTGTTTAATTGAATTATAATTCAATTGAGCTGTTTATTAATTTATTTGAATGAACGATTAGGACTAGTTCGAGTATATTTCAATGGTTAGTATATTAGTTCCAAATTGAATACAGGTAATTGATTAATATTGAGAGTTGAATTCTTCAATTGCATTTGTTATTAAGAATAAATTAATTATGATTAGACGAATATTTGTATTTTGAACAATTATAACTATTTATGCGTGAAATAAAACAAGGTCAAGTCTTGTTAATGTCGGTGGAATAGTTATCCCGMTTTGTCAAGGAATAACCTACACAAGATAAACAAACATTCTGACGTTTAAGTCAATACTAGTTCGAACTAATAGTAAATTCGAGTTAGAATGTAATACTTGTCTACAAAAGTGTTACCATCTATTTATAAGTTTTGAGTTGGTAACAGATGGTAGGTCGAACATGTCTTAGATAGTGGGTCAGATTTGGATGCTGGTTGGATCGTAGGATGTTTCGCATAATGAATTTATGACTAAGTATGACATCTTGAAATCGTCCAAAATAACTTAAAAATATCTGATCGAGTGCAAAGTGAACGTCTCCTTGTCCTCCACGGTGTAATCTTCACTCCCAATCAATAAATTTTTGTTTTACCGTATTATATAAATAAATTGTCTATCAAAGAAAAGAAAAATTAATAAAATTAATAAATAATCGGTCGTTTCTAAATTAGAAGACAACGTTTGTTGGTGGCGCGCCTGTTGTCAGATAATTGTGAAATTGAGGGCCGCGGAATATTCTGGATTTATTCGATATGTCACGTCGTCAGCCTCGATTTCACCGTCCATTTTCAGTGCCAGGCGGACCGTTGAATTTCCAGTATTTTTTTTCTTCATAATATATGCATATTACACATATTTCCAGCATTTTCTAAACGATTTTTTCATATTTATTTTTTAAAATAACATTTTAACTTACATGACTAATTTGAACCTAGTTTCAATTAATTAAAATATTATAATATAGACCAAAATATGATCAAATCTTCACAATATATATTCTTAAACTAAAAAATATATTTTTTAAAATTTAGTATATATTATTTAAAAAGTTCTAATATATTTTTAAGTATTTTTTTATGTTCTCAAATTGATTGATAATAAAGTTATATTACAAGATATTATTGATTAAACCTCTTAATCCCTAAAAAGTCTACATTTTTTTGCCAACTTCTTCTAAATTTATAACAAATATTATAAACTTTTATCTACTACATGACATATAGTTTATCAACCTGGTAATTATCATCTCATACAAATTATTTTTCCAATAATTAAGTTTAATATTTAATATCACAAAGTATGTAGTTGAAAAAGTTAAAATATAATAAACCGATTGAGACTTTGTATAAACTAGATTGAAAACACCAATAAATTTAGAAGCTAAAACATATATTTGGGCAAACTATTTGTATTTGTCATATTCCAACAAATATTAAATTATATAAACAAAACACAAATACTAAATCGATTAGTATGTTTATAACTTTTACCTCCTAAAATTCAGTAGTGAGATTTAACATAATTCAACAGATTAATATATTAATAATATTTTTGAAAGGGTAGTAGTATGTCCAAATCATATTTAGTATTCTCAATCTAACAAACTGGTTAAGACATCTATTTATAATTAAAAATCGTGAATTTGAATCCGCACCCACATGCATACTAAAGAAGAAGAATCACGAATCCCCATTGATGTACTAAAGATAAAAATCACACTCATATTTAATTTATGAAATAAGAAAGTTAAATATCCTTACCACTTGAGGTATTTTTCAATTCGATATTTAATATTTTAAAATTTTCAAAATTACCACGATGTATTAAATGTCATCAAGTAAGTCATTTCACTTGTTAAATTTTATTAACAAAAATTTAATATGTCATCGAATAAGTGTAATATTAATATATTTTAACATGCGAACACCGCTACTTGTACGCTCCCTGTTACATAAAACTCAACTCGTTTATTTAAAAAAAAATACACTAGTACTTTTCTATTAATAAATATCTAATCGATAATCATTAATACATTAAGGATAAAATTGATAATTAAATTCGGTAGCATATTGAGAAATTTTGTCCAACGTTCTACACCCGACCACAGGGAATCCTTGTCCAGATTGGAGTTGGACCGTCGGGTTATACAATTAGAGATGGGCCGGTAATTCGGCCCACATTCCGAATCGCGTGCGGCGTTTCCCGCCATTGTTTTTTCTTTTCATATCCGTAATTTTGGAGCTTAACAACTACCAAGCTTAGGAGGAATATTTCCCATCTCCGTACTGTGAGGAAACAGATTCTTGGTTCGAGATTCGTGATCGTTCTTCTACCTTACACGCCTGCAGTTTTGGCCGAAGAGTTTAAGCGTATTTGGTTTATCAGTCTCCGCGCGGAGAGTGTTTCGATCAAATGCGGCTGAAGATCAACAAGGCCTGCGATCTCAGCTCTATCTCTGTTCTTCCTCCTCAATCCAGGTATGTATGTTTATTTCTTCATTTAAAGCGTTCTATTTTGTTTTGTTAGCAATAATTAATGGAAATAAGTAGTTTAGACTGCAATGTTGTCCATCTTCACTAGCTTGCAATTTTTTCTCCATACATTTCCCGCGCTTCTAGCTGTTTATTGTGTCCCGAGTTCTGACAGATATGGATCTCGTTTTGATCATAGGTATGTTTCTTGATGTTTCAGATGGAATTGATTGGTTTGAAGTTTTTAAGAGATCGACATTTTCAACATATTTTACTGTAAACTTCGAAATTTGTACTTACACAGCTTTGTGTAATTGTTTGTTTGATTGAATTGACTTCATTTTGTAGATACAAGACTCAGTGACTTTTAGTTTTGGATAAAAACATAGATGAGTTAGAATTTGAAGTTTTCAGACCATAACCTTGTCGTGAAATTGCAAGTTGAGTTCGCTGCAAATTAAACTCGATCCAATGTCTTTAGTTTTACGTCATTGTTTTCGTCTGTTTCAGAGGAAACACAAATAATAAGAAAGAAAGGAAAGTATAAAATTTCTCATAAACGTATTCTCAAATGAAAATATGAATTGTCTTGAATGATCTGAAGGAGGTCAAATGCACCTACTGGGCAGCAAGCACCACAGTTGCGATCACAACCTTCGCAACAATCCTTTTCACAGGGACTGTCATCTCAGCACGGCATGTATTCTCAGCTCTCGCAGAACTCTTTTGACGAAGTCGTGACAAATGATCAGGTCAATCTCGATTCTACTATGGATTTTCAGGTTTTAAGATTTCGCTTGCCTATAGAGAAAGCGAGTAATAGAAAGGAAATGGCATTAAAGTTGTATGGCTCTTTGTATTTCTAGCGATGAACAGTGATTCAAATTGCCGTGGAAGGAGGATTTCATTATGTATTTAAAAATTCTCTTATGGACATGCATTGGCTAACGCGATAGATGTGTTTATGAATATGATTAGATGGTTATGTTTATAATCTTGAAAGACTGCTTAGAATTTATGTGGTATATACATATACCATACTGAGTGAATATTTGCACTTCTATGCAAATAAAAAGTCAGTTGAGTATCTTTCTCATCTGAAATAACCATACTTCCTTTAATTGTTTTCTTAGTTTATCATTATAACTAACGAAAATTTCATAATCACGCTAATCCTTTTGTTCAATTACAATTAGTAGTAGTATACAGGACTTGATTCATTTTCACACTCTTTTGGGTTATTAATCGTTTAACTGAAGTTCCAAATTTCTTATTGTTAAAATTTATATTATTCAAACAATCTTGGGATGACTCAAGTGGTCAATGAAGGCCAATGTAAATAGCAAAGGACTTAGAGGGAATGAGCTCAAACATGGTGGCCACCTACTTAGGATTTAATATCCTAAGCAAGCTGGCTCGGACACACGGATTTCATAAAAAACAAAAAAAAAATATATTATTCAAATTTATTTTCCTTCTATTTGTTTATCTTAAGAGAATACTTTAGTAACTCCTGCAAACTCTTTAGTTGCAGTACTGGTAAATGAATCATCTATATATATGCTTTACTGGATGAGGCTCACTTGGACGTCGTTCTCATTTATAATCTCTTGAGAATGGTAACTGATACAACTTCAAAACATCTGAATATTCATTTTTCATGGTGATCATAATCTATGAGAAATCAGTTTACCCCATATAGATCACTAAAATTTTAACCGTGTAAAATATAATCATATGCATGAAGGTATTTATCCATTGACTCCGTTTCAAGTGCTTATTCTAGCCACTAGTAGAACTTTGTATTCTTTAATATTAGTCTGCCCAATGTAATTACTTTCCTGTCCGTATTAAGTCTATGACCTTGGTCAGTTTGGAGTGTAGATCCCTTCCACCTTATCCGAAATAATTTTCTTCTCATCATGGTTTACATTATTAGGACAAGGACCAACAATTTTATCAACTAAAATTGATTGGAACAGAATGTACACTAAAGGCGAGATGATTGCCAGTAAAGGAAAGAGGAGATGGGTAATACAATGAGGGACACGAATATGTTTAGTGGTTCGGCATTAGAAAACTTACGTCCACTCTGTGAATGCAGTAAGCAATTCACTCAGTATAGAAATTAGACCAAGCCTTTTGTGTGGTGATTACAGAGGTAAGAGCAACCCTATAATGAAGGAAAGAAGATCATTCACAACTGGAAAGGAGCGTCAGGTTGCTACCTCGTTAGCTAGGAAAGGTATCTTTTGCCTTTCGTGTTAGGATTTAAACTTGGGAAGGAGAGCTCCTAGCCCTCTCTAACGGCTGGGCACCTTTTGTATGTGAGGGATTTTCTCTATGCTTACGAGAACTTGAATAGTTAGGAAGATACCTTACAACATGATAAACTCAGTGAGCTGAGCTGGCAGGTTTCCAGGTACTCAGTGACACTGACACCTAAGCTTACATGCATTTTGCAGTGTAGACTAACTAGCTTTCCACATACAGATACATAATAGGCTACTTAAGTAACTCATCAAGTCCATACTAGAACTTGGAAGCTGAAATTCCTCAAACTGGTTGTAAAAATTGCTTATACTTTTTTCTTTTACGGCATCATTTTTTCTGAACAAGATACAAAACATTTCATAGAATCATTACATAAATGAAAGTGCCAGGATGAATGCTTCTAGTTTCTTGTGCAGTGATGATATGACTATGCCCTCGTATAGACTTGAAATAAAGTTTATTTATTATTATTATTATTATTTTTTTATGATTCAAGTTGCGTTCTTTCTTTTTTCATCACATCTTATGATTTATTTTAGACGTATCATTCTGTTTGACAGAGATTTAGCTCTCAAGACCGAGAAAACTCAATTAAGAAGAATTCATTTTTTCCTCCTCTAAGTTATTCCAGAGAAGATTGCCAATTGCCACTCTCTAGATCTTCTACCAGTCTAGTACAAAAATGGAAATCAACTCCTCTTCCGGACTCTAAGTGTAAGCTCACTCTCTTGGAACTCATATTACACGACACAGACTATTTCAATAAGTTTGTCTGATTTGATTACAGCGTGGTATAAATGTATATGTAGCCAGGGTGATAAGCTGTCATTTCTTACAGTCTTTATTTATTTGTTGCGACTTCAATTACGATAATTTTAGCTTTTCTTTTCAGGTCAAGTTGGTGAAGAACTTGACCGCCGCATTGGAAACATAGAAAACTCATTAAGCAAGTTTGGAATGATCTTGGATTCTCTTCACAGTGATGTCCTGCAACTAAACAAAGGAGTGAAGCAAGTTTCTCTGGATGGTGAGCTTTCCAATCCCTCAAGCTGAAAAGTAAAATCTGAAGAGAGAATATGCATTACTGCAAAAACCACTTTCTGAATTGAAACCTGATATGCTTGTTTCTCAAGTAGGAATATGGTGATTAATATTTAATTGAATTTTCATTTCCTTCATAAAGTAGAATTAAGATTTCTATGTTATGACTGTGAAAAGGGAAAGTGCCTAAATCAATAAGTAATTCTGACCTCTGAGTAATTGCTTCAAGGCGAAAAGTTTATTCAAATAATCTGCTTATTTATTTATTTATTTTTTTCGAATTGCAGTGGAGGGCATATGGCAAAAGATGACTGTTCACAGTAGCTCACTGCAGTCCGTGGTAAAAATAGTACTAGATCTAAGGAATATTTTACTGACCAATTAAGTTTGTTTAATTTTAGTCAGAATATCTAAATTGGGCATTCAACTAATGAGTGCAAAGTTCAACGTCAGAACAAAGAGCAAGATGACATTAGAGCTACCCTTGATGGAGGCTTCAAAGTGATATCTGATCAACTAAAGAAGGATGCATACCAAGAAAAGCTACATGAGATTTCCGATGTTCTTTCTGCGTTGGGAAAGCAAGTACAAGCATCTCTACTGAAATTAAAAGATGACGTCGTCAGCACATTCACACAAGAAATGAAGGCAAGTGCATGTGGTATTAGGTATTGCTATTAATACACAATAAAAATAATTTTCCTCCTAACTCTGGTTGTGATGGGATGGGGTGTTTATTTGGTACTTTAGACTGTTTTAAAATCTCAAGTAAATGCCACCTTTCTTGTCACGTAACTTGCTGGTAATTTTTCAATGATTTGTAGGCAATGAATTGTGCCTTGAAGAACCCATCACAGAAATTTCCACCAAACTCTATTCGATCACCTGAGGTTCTGTTTCTTATTAAATATCGGTCAAATATATCAAGCATCTGTTTCATTCTGAACATATCCTCAAGGAAGTTTTTCTTGCAAATGCCAGAGTAGCGGTTGTTTGGTTGTTCCACAGAAAAAGCGGCAGCGATGTAAAATGTATGAATCTTAGTTTTCATAATAACTGGCTTGATATCTAGTATTTTCATGCATTTAATATTTGGAAAATTGTCATTCTGTCTTAAATGAATAAATGAATTACTTATAATGGTGAATGGATTTAGATTGAACAGATGTCTCGGATTTAATCTTTTCTTGACGTTAAAAATGTAGAATTTCATGCAGTCTATGAAATTTATGACCTATAAAACTCCATAATTTCTTTCAGTTCCTGTATATTTTATGGCTCTGATATATAGCAGTCTGGAAGTTCTCAAAGGAATTACTGTGTAATATTCTATTAAATTCTGTAACTTGGCATTGTGGAGCATATTCGAGGAGCAAAAGAAATTTCCAATTCTTTCTACTGATGTTAACTTAATGTAGCATGACAAAATCATTCTCCTGAGCAAGCATAATGTTCAGGCGATTGTTAAATGAAATTTGGTATTATATGCAGTGGTCCTCTGTTCTTTAGCATCTTAAGAGAGCTTACTTTTTCCTCTTAACATCAGCCAATCTGCGTCTCCAAATGTTTGCATTCGAGCACCTGCAGTACAAAACGAGGAAGTGGGAGGTTGGAAATCAGTAAAAGTTTCAAAGGCTTTCTGCACTAATAGTGTGGTGAGAAAGGAAGATGCAAAGAAAGCAATTCCATTTTCTGAACAGGTATTGATTAGAATTTCATTATTTTTTATCTTTTTCTGCCATCTATCTCATTGCCATTTATCGCGGAAATTGTGTAATTGTATTTTTGATAGCCAATGTAGACGTTTTCCCTGATTATTGAGTCAGAAATTTTTACTAATTATTCTACGAAGTCACTAAAGATTTCACCTTGAATATTAGCAGTGCCTGGTGCTGGGAACAGAATATAGAGTTATTGTTGATTCCGATGAGGAGATCGGAAGAAGTTTCTCCTGCTTAATTGAAGAGAAGAAAACAGGTGATTCCTGGAAATATAGAAGAAGCATTTAGATAATATGAATATTGCTAATCATATCTTCTTCACGTGTAAATTGTCTAGCATGTAACTAACTAATGAGACATGGATAGGACGGAACAAAGAAATAATGACATGTATTAAAGAAAGTTAAGACATGGACACTGTTTAGATACATATAATATAGAAATTTGGTATTCATTTTAAGTGCTCGGGAGCAATCAGAATGGCGATTCTGATTTTGGATAGAGTAGACAATATGGGATTTCAGACAATCCCAAATTGATCTGATTGGCAATTTATTGGGCTGGTTAAGATAAGATATGTATGTATATTTTTTTAGTACAATAATATGGGGAGATTCGAACTCACGAATTTTTGGTTAGAAATAGATGCCTTGACCGAGGTATGCTCAAGTTGGAATGTGTCTARGTTTTTTTAGATGTTATGGACATGTGTTCAAGGCGAGTCTATCTGCCCTAGATATTGGACACTGATACTTTTAACTTTGGAGGAGCATTCATGCTTCATAAGAGGACAGTGGTGTGGCGTCTCAAAAGGACTTATTTCCGCAAGCAAAAACAGTGATCATTCCAAAAGAATATGAAACAAAGGGGTCCTATAATAGTGATATAAAGAGAAAGTTAGGAAACCCTCTGTAATGGAATTTTATTTTCAACGTGCTTCATTTGACTTTCAGATGAATCAGTGTTAACATGTCTCCATGCTGGATTATGAACTGAAGATTTGTATTTTGTTTGAAGTTATTTATATTAACGTGCCAAAATACTAGGTGAAGATGTAGGTTACTACTCCATAGAAGATGCCAAGGAAGAAACTGAAAGAATTTTAAGGAAAGCAAGAAGGCAGAAAAGGAAATGGTGCAATCCTATAATTATTAACTGAAGGTACATTTCTGCTCACCAATGATTGAATCTATCGGTTAAGGATCCTACATTGAAAAGAAAATGGATCTTACAAAGGTTTATAATTAACATGGGTCACCCTTTTCATTGCGAATTGATTTTGAGATGAAATCTATAAATATTAAAATCGTACTAGAGCCCAAAAGCTCAAACGAGCATCCAGTCTCTAATCTTATCAATGTAGGATCCTTAATACCATCTGGTCACTCATTTTATGTTCTGATTTCTGAAAATTATTGATTCGTAGGCATGGTGTAGGAAACGTTACTGAATTGACTACAAGGGTAGAATGTTTTTCTTCATTAATTATGTGATGGGTTCCTAAAAGCTAATAGGCAATACACACCTAAGTACTTTAAGCTCGGTTTGATAATGTTTTCGTTTATTGTTTTTCATTTCTAATTTTTGGGAACATAAGTGTTAAGGAATTATTCTTGTTTCTTGTTTCTCGTTTTTAAGAAACATTTTCAAAATTGTGTTGAATAACAAAATCAAGTTTATTGTTTCTTGTTCTAATTTTTTTCAAAACATAGATAATTTTTTTTATTTATAACATTCATACAAAAATCTCAAAAAATAAGTATAACATACCATTTTGAATATTTAATTTGAAAATTTTATTTTCATATAAAACTTATACTTCAACCAGAAATAATAAATTAGTACAAAATACATTTATTATTTTTTTTCGATAAAAAAAGAAATAACGATAAATAGTTATCAATTGTATGTTCGACAAGAGTCGATAACATTATCAAATAAGCTCCAAGTAATCCAAGATTATTCTCCTGCATAGTTATAGTTATGGTTATGGTTCCACTAAGTTTCAAGAAATCACTGGGAATTAAGAGTTCTCACAATCTTCTGTTATATTTGAGTGATGCAGGAGAAGAGAAAAAACGCTACAGAAATAGAGGGAAGAAGTAAAGGGAAACTGGAGAACCAAAAATTTGTGGGAATATTTTTTTTTTCTTTTTTCCTTTTTCTTTTATCCAACAACTTAGGAGTAAAATCTCAAGGAATGAAGTAGATACCAATTACCATTGAGCTATGCGTTGACAACCAAACTTTTCATTTATATGCCACAAATAAAATAATAGCCGCAGACATAAAAACATTTTAGATCAAATCTAACTATTGCAAGGTCAAATATAGTAGGAAATTATCATGAATGTAGCGTTCTCAAACTTGTAAAATATACTATCCGTATCATTTTATAAGAAAAATATTGAAATGAAAGAATATTTGTGAGTGATGGGGACGAGAAATCCTCTAGCTAAAAAGAAAAATAAAAACTACAAGAATGATCCCCATATGGTGTGCATTGAACGAAGATGTGAAAAAGCACCCAATCATGATATTTGCCTAAAAGTATGAGCTTGGTGGTTTCAATCTAAATATTAAACAGAATATAAATTGCACATTTCCAAAAAGCCTACATTCTCTTGGAAGCGAAAGTACGAATAAACATCAGAAGAAAATTGTGAAATATACCAAATTGAAAAGCCTGAACCATAATTTAAGTGATATTACAATTTAGGAAAAAGTGGTCAACTAAACCTTGTCCTGGAACAGATGGATGGAGAAAGAGAACCAAATGATATTTTGAGAGTTCAAAGATACAAACTCCCAAAAGAGGTGAAAAAAGACAACGTCCAGAAAAAAAAAAAAAACTCCAAAATGATAAAAAGAACAAGAGAATAAGACAATGAAGAACAAGATGACTAAAAATTTGACAAAATGATGAGCCTAAATAACCAAAACCACTCCCTTCGAGCTGCACATTGCATGAATAGGATTTACTAGAATCCTTAGTACAAAGTCTTCGGTTTATGAAGGAAAGTAAGATTACTTTTTGGTGCACAACTTGAAAATTTGTCATGTAGTCATCTGTCTTATATGTGTAGAAGTGTTCTCTGGTACTTCAAACTGCATCTAATTCTATGCAGGCCGTACTCAGCCCTTGCAACCTTTTGATAGAAATTGACCTCTAAGTTCATTTCAGCCTACTCAAAATTATGTGCACTTTTTGTCAAAGAAAATAGACTATGATAACTGTTGCCTGAAGGACACCACTAGCTAGCTTGTGAATCTAGGCCTTTTAAGTTTAAACTTGAGAAAGAATAGGCACCGTATCCTATCCTTGTGAGTCGGCGACCTTAGTTTTTACTAGGATGTTCATGGGGCGGGGATTGAGGCCCCATTTAATTCTCCATCTCCGCGAAATTTCACGAGGATCAGGGACGGGATTACCGGGGAATTCGTGGGGATCGGGTTCCTCGTGGGGACATTTATTATTTTTTTATTTTTTAAATTATCTTTCAACAAATATTTTTTTCTTAAAGAAATTTTTATTTAATTGCTAATTTCTAAGATCTAATTATCTCAAATATATATATTAGGTGGGTGTGAGTAGAGAAGAATACATGATTACATGATCTTTTTTAGTACATGTAAATATAAAGAGGATAATATAATTATTTTAGTGTATATATATATTAAAAAATTGACACGGCGGGGAACGTATTCCCCGTCCGAGTCCCCATTTAGGTAGTGGGGAAAATTTTTCCCCATCCCTACCCCACGGAAAATTTAAACAAGGAGTCYCCGCCCCATTTTGGTACATCTTTGCTGGAACAGGGCCCCATGGGAAAATTGAACCTCCCTAGTTTTTACACAACGCTAGTAAGTCTAAGGAAGAGAATATCATCTCAAATTTGTACTAAAATGATAGTATTACTCGTTAACCCCCCAATACAAAATCTGAAACAAACCTTAATCTGAACCCAGATCGTTTCTTAATGATCCATGATTTGTGACTACCTAGCAAATTAGAGTGCATATTGGTGAGTTATGATTAAGAGTCCTTTTGTTATAGACTCGCTTGAATAAGAAATATCCCCTTTTTATCTCATGCTAAAATTTGTATCATAACCAACGACCTTATCCCACTGATCTTCAATATTTTAGTGCATTTTCTCGTGGCAATGCAGCATTTAATCACTTGTGAAATTCTCGCCAGTATATACCATGTTTTTGGCAGGACCGCCATTTCCATTGGCTTATTGTTGCATGATTGATAAAAAATAGTCATTATTTCTATTTATTGACGAATAATACTCTTAGGTGCTTAGTTCTAATAATTTTAATATTTTTTTCTATTACAATACGTGGGTGGATATTTAACTCACACCCTTTTAGTCGGATATAGCTACCTTAACTAGTTGAGCTAAGCTTAAGTTGGCTAAAGAATTTTTTACAAGTAAAAAGAGAGAGGCTGGAAAAGAAATATTTTCTCTGTTTTTCAAAAAGCTAAAGACCTGTCAAAGTTTGAGTGTAGCGGTAAGAAGGTGCTCATTGGCAGTTTACTTTAGTAACCGAGTTCTAGAATTACAAAAGCCAAGAACGCGAACGCGGGACCAACCAACAGCTTTACTTTCTTTTGCAGGTGCAAGATGGCTCAGCACGATCAAGTTTCAGGATGTAAAGGCGCGGCCTTTCTTCTAGGTAATTGAATCTTTATCTTGCTGTTGAATGCCCACTTTTGCATGCTCCCCATCATGATTATCCGAGCCTTATTGCTTTTCGTGCATCTTTTTCTTTAGTTTCCACTGCCCAAAAACAAATATCCCACTTTGGAGCCTGGACTACAACTTTTGGTTTTGACATAAAACTTTTTTGTTTCCTGCGTTTGAGGAGCTCTCTGGAAGTGGTAGGACACTAGAATAAGTTTGAGCCATGCCTTGCCAGCCATTTTTAGCTTTTCTTTGAAACGAAGCAAAGCCGTAGATATTTGTTCCTCTTGGTCTTGGTAGTGTCCCTTTTGTTGTGGGTTTGGGATGGTGGGGTTTGAAAGATGAAGCCCATCACCAACTTTTTTGGGTAAGTCCATGCCTATTAACAGGAGATATGTCCACCACCAAGTCGTTTCATTGAATTTAACAAAGCCCACAAACTAGATATTGTTGTCTGCCAGTCCAACTAAGTCCCACATGGATGTTCTGTTTTATCAATATCCTGTCTTACGGATCTAAAGAGCAGTGGAACAGGAATTCAAACTCATGATCTCTTAGTTAGTAGTGCATGTATATGTTGTTTTATCAATACCTTGTTTTATGGACCCTAAAAAAAGTTTTTTACAACAAGTGAAGTTGGGAATTCGAACTCATGACGTTTTGGTTAGAGATTGGTGTTAATTATCGTTAAACTAAGTCTATATTTACTACAATAAAAAAGATCAATGATTTAAAAGTCATAGTTTATTTCATCACTCATAAATTTTCCTTTCTTGTCCATATTCAAAATTTACTTTAGTATTGTCAACTTCAAGTTCAACTGGTTAAGGCGTCAAGAATTCAAGTTTCGAATCTCCACCCAACATATCATTGAATTAAAAAAAAAAAAGTGAAAATTACTTTAGGTAGGTTAAAAACTGTGATTTTATATAGTATATGGTTGGGAAAAATGCAGCATGGAAATATATATGCACTGTGAACATGATTTGGCCCATGTGATATAAAATAAAGTCAGGGAGTGGGGAAAGGGGAACGGGGTCTCGGAACTTTTTTCCCCTCCCTCCAAACATTCATTCTATGTTAATGAAAATAATAAGGTTAAATTAAATTAATCTATATATCATTTTAATTCCTAACTGTAATAAAGTTTTAGTTACAATCTTAAAACTTTAGACAGTACCAACAAAACCCTGATGTGATAGGTTCATTAATTATTATTATTATTATTTTAGTTGAAGGGAAAAGATTTTCGAACCTTATGTTCATGCCAACTAATTGAACTAGTACATATGTAAGGTTATTCCTTAAGGCCTCAAGCCATCCAAGTTATCCTCTGGGGACAAAGATAGTTTTTTTAGTTAAATAGTAGGATGGAGATTGAATCATTAACTTTTGAATTGAAAATAGATGTTTTTATCTATCGAGTTAGGTTCGAATTAACTACTTTAAAAAGATAGTTGACAGTTGTTTTCTAGCAAAATAATATAATGAAATTTTATTATTCTGATGTGATGATTGAGAAAATTTAGTTTCCTTTCACATGTCAATATAGTATTTATGTCATCTTAGGGAGAAATTATTGCATGAGGTTGTACAATATGACTCATGCTTTATTAATTGCTCAATAGTAGATTCTGTGATAAACAAGTAAAGCATCAACTATATTGTGTGAATCTTATTCAATAATTAATGCTTTCTCTTATTGGACAATCAAATGTGTATTTTGAGAACTTTTTTCATAAAAAAACTTTTACAGGTACAAGAAAAAGTTTACTACAGATTTTCTTGAAAAAAAAATTGTTAAAAGTACGAGTAAAGATGGAGAAATTTGAACTATGGATGAAAATTTTTAAGTCGACTTTGTTAATATATCATGGATATTTTATAAAATCTCTGAAAATTATATATATAATTCAAAAAATTTCTGGGGTAGTTTTGATGTTGTCCAAGATTTAACAATTTTTAAAATATATCTCAATTACTGGAAAGGGAAAAAAAGAGTTCATAGCTTCATTGCATTTTATGACCTATTGATTTAGGATATACATGATATATAAATTTTTCGTCTCTATTATTGTTATTATTATTATTTTAACTTTTTTCGAGTTAAACGAATATTTATTATTTTACCTTTTCCAAATTAAACGAATGTGGAGTGAGATAAGAATTAAACCTTCCATCTTAGGGGAGATATGGTTGTCTTGACCCCTAAAGGTTGACACATCTCTTTTAAACCTTAACAAATAATATTAGAGAGGTAGAGATGTTTTAATTTAACTACTAAATTATGCCGGGGTTGACTAATCAAATATATTCAGAATGAGAAAAACTTAATGTAATTAAAAGCTATAAACTAAAGGTTGCCTCTTCTAATATATAGTTTTTTTTTTGTTTTTTTTGTTTTTTTTATTACACCAACAGGATGAGATGATTCAAACCTAGGACCTTTAGCGTAGTAAATAATGTCTTGATTAGTTGAACTATGTTCAGATTAACTCTTCCTCTCTATATAGTTATCTCTCGATTCTCTTTTTCATAAATAAAAATCCAAACAATTACCATGTACTTTTTAATCAAAAGGGTTATATTCTAAGCACAAATGATTAGCTTAGTAGAATAATTGTTAATTAGGACTGATTTTGATTTTGATTTTTTTTCTTCCTCTCTGTATAGTTGTCTTATTAGGGATATTCTCCAAAAGTATGATATAAATTACAAATTATTGAACAAACTTCTTTCACATTCTTAATTTTCTTTATTTGGTGATGCCTACCATGAAACATCTAACCAATCTGATGCCTACTCATTAGCCACCTTATTCTTTTAGGAATGATGAAAAAGAATAGAGATGACTTTTTATAAAATGAAAATGAGAAGTTTTTCATTGACATTAAAAGTATACAAATTGATGAGAAATTTAATCCTAAATCCTCTGCTCTCCATATTTAAAATAATTTAAGGGAAAAAAAGCTTTAAAATTTTCTCCCTTTTTAACCTTCTTTAGTTAAAAACTAACCACTCAACTTTTAGACACACACACATATATCTTTCTAATTTCTTAATTCATTCTCTAAAATTTTAATGTGTGGAATTGTCAGATTTATGTCTGATTGAAGACTATTTTTTTTATTGAAATTTTTAGTTGGTGCTTTGTAGCATGCCTAATGCCTTAAAATATAAATAAGCTTGAGTTGACTTAAATAAATAGTATACAAATTATTAAATTTGTGTAACTAATAATAATTTTTATTATTATATAGAGAAAGTCCCTAAATTTAATTTGAAACCAATATGTTGCAATTTGTATTTGATTTTGTAATATAATTTATTTGAGCTTGTGGGATTATATATTAGTACTAGATTTGCAATCTAGCTTTGGGGTCTTATTTCTAACAATTTGAACAAAAATTGTCAAAATAAGATCTTTGAGATTATAGTTGAAGCTTTAGAAGAGGAGTTAGGTCAGTTTTAATAATCTTACATTTTTTTTCTTTAGTACAACATGTGAGGTGGAGATTCGAACTCACGATATTTTTGTTGGAAATAGATGTCTTACCCACCAATAATTTTATATGTTAAATCTCCATTTATTTGTTAACTTAACTAGTGTAACAAGATTAAAAAAAAAGACACCCTTTACAAAGTAAGCCAAAAAAAAATCATGATTTCCCAAATTTAGGATGGATATATGTACTTTTTGTAAAAAAAAAAAAGAAAAAAAGGGTAGGAGATAGATAGTTGAGATACAATACTAGTTATATAATAAAAGCAATATAAGGACAAAAATTAGTGAGCCCATCTTCCTTTAGTTCACCAAACCCACAACCATCACAACATAATAAAGTGAAGTCTTGACTTTAATTTCAACAATATTCGGATGTTAGTAACCTATTTTCATGTTGTTCACCACTCGAGATTTGACCGTTTTTTTTCCTTTTTTTTGAAAGTAGAAAAGCTATCTCTCTCTCTTTTGTATTTAATTTTGATCGGCACCTAAATTTTTTTTATTTTATTTTTCTCTTATAAATAATCTCTCATTGTCTTCTTTTCTATTGATGTAGGCTGTGGCTTGAAAGTTCCATTTGCAATATCAAAATCTTCAGCAGTGAGGAAAAGCATCCAAAGCCCCACCAAGGAACCCTATGCCTTGACGCAAGAGCCTACCCACCCACCCACATCCAACGTCCAAAAAATTAAAGAAAAAAAAAGGTTCATCATTATTTCCCTCTTTCTTTCATGAAAGTAGCCAGTTATGCTTTTAGGAATTTACTTAGGGTCTCTATCTGCATTTTCTTCATGGAAATTATTTTGAAATATAAATTTTCTTCTTGTTTCTTTAAACTGATCTAACGCATGGTTGGTTATAAGTAAAGAGTAGGGTTTTTAGATAATTATTGAAAATATATCCAAAAAAGTTTAAACATATCTTAACCTATTTATAAGTTTTCTTCACTACAATTCATGTGCGGGTATGAGAATTTGAAATCCCAACTTCAATAACTGACATCTATCTATAAATTTTTAGGGGTGTATAAGATTAATTTGGTATAGTATTATCAAAATAAAAAAAATATCTTATAGCTATCTTTTGTTTAGTACGAGAAGTGGGATGAACAGATTTGAACTCATAACCTCTTGGTTAGAGACATGTGTTGATTAACATTGAGCTAAGCTCATGTTAGACATCTTATAGCTAACTTAAGTTTAGTTCAATAGTTAAGGTATTAGTAACTTTTCGTATGGGTGGAAAAAAAGGAAAACACTTGGTTTCTCAACAATGAGGAAGAAATTCCTCTTCATCGTTAAATATTTGACAATTTATTATTATTTAAAAAAAAGTATCTATATTTTGCATTTTTCTCTCTTAGTTGTCAAGCATTTAATGGTGAAAATGACCAATTTGCAGTATATTTTTTTTGGGTAAAAATGGTAAGAATTCAGAATTTAAACTTTTGTAAAAGAATCTCAGAAGATAAATACAAAATCTGGAATTCTATTGGTGAATAGGCAATAATGTTCATCTGTGTTATTTAATGTGAATTAATTGAAAGCCGGAGTGTCGGCTGGATGACATAATTGTTGTGGCCTTGCTTCGCATCAAAAACCAAACACCCAAAAAAAAAAAAAAAAAAACTCTCTTTGATGCTTCCAATTGACCTAACATGACAATCTAATCCCAACAAACTAATCAAAGGCCAGAGGCGTATGCTTTAGTTGGAATGGCTAATCATTTTCACTTCCTTAGGCTTATTATATTTATATAATTAATTATAATGCAAGGGATGACTGATGACGATGGGATGGATGGATATTGAAACCATTATTAATTGTATTCTGTTTTATGATGAATATATGGTTGTTGATCTCTTCATGCTCCGCTGATTACCACTGTATATATATATATATACTTTTTTTTCCTTTCTTTTTTGTCAAAAATTTAATATTGTGTTAAGGATAACGGTACTCTTGTACTTCAAAAACATAATCATTACGACTTTACTTTTTAGTTTCATTCAAAAAATCTCATAGTAATAAAGATAATTGCCTTTATATATATACCTATAATCTTACCTGTATTTAGTCAATGTGGGACTTGGTCGTATTCCCAACATAATTGACAATGAACGGGTGTTAACAAATGATCAGTATCTAAATATTATTATTTTACTGTGATTTCCCATCAGCATAGAGATAAAAAGATTGTTGGGGGAAATGATTGAATATTGGAATTAATAATGATTTTTTTTTTTTTTTTGTGGTGATTGTTAGGTTTACCCAATGCAATATCCCATTTTCCCCTCCCCTTTACTGATGTTGCATTTGCATATCTTTCAGGTGAAGCAACAGGTAAAAAGAGCAACCCTGCCCCCTCTGGTGCTGTTGCCATCCAAAGTACCTCTCTCTACCTCTCTCTCTTTCTTGTTTTGGTGTTTGGGCTGGGGGTCCTCCTGTCTTTTTGCCTTTTTACCCATCTAACTGAAGTGAAATCTGGTAGATTACATTATACCTCCCTCTCTCTTGTTGGTGGTTGGGCTAGGGGTCCTCTTGTTTTATTTCTTTTCTTGTTCGTTTCTTTACCAAGGTGATTGACAAGTGATAGGACTTAAATCTTGATATGCTACTTATATATATACACGATATTAGGGCGGGACGGGTTTGAGAATGCACTTTCTGATTTCTACCCGTGCAATTTTCCTTTTAATCCCTATCTTCTTTCCATTTCTTAGCTTTTTGGCTTATGGAAATCTAATGTCTCCCTTTTATGTGGATGAGAATTTGAACTCACGACCTTGTTTTAACTAGTTGATATAAATTAATTTAAATAGGCGATGCATATATAGTATTAATAATAATAATTTTTTAAAGAAAATTTTGGGATGGAGGTTGAGGTGAGATAGAGGCTTCTATATTTTATCTTCAAAAATATCAAAACAAATACCTTTTACGATTTCCAACGACAATTTAGAATAATGAAAAAGTTTAATCTCGTAAGGACTCCGCAAAGTTTTGTAATCCCTATTTATATGAACTCAATTTTGTTGATTAGTTTTTCTTATTTAAATATATTTATAACTTTTTTATGCTGTGGAATCAGTAACTTTGTGTTCTGGTTTAAGAAGCAATGACTATCATTATAATTAATCAGGAATCTAGTTAGATGTAAATCAACAATTATCCTTTAAAATAAGAAAAAGGAACATATAAATCACTTTTTAGATAGATTTGTCAGTCAAATATAAATCATCGATCATAAAAAGTCGTAAGTTCAAATCATCTAATCATCTCCCTTATTTATTGTTGAATAGAAAAACATATGAATCACTAACTTGAAAATAGTAACATTTTAAAAATGTATGGTCAATTTTTATGTATGCATAAATAAATAAAATTGTTCATCTAAATTTTCTATAATCATCGGTGCATTAATCTTAACCATCATAACTAAACATAAAGTAAAATATGATATAAACTAACTTTAAGTATTGTTAGACTGGTTAGAATATAAAGTAGCTTTCTCAAGATCACGCGTTAAAATCTCCATCCGTCGAATTGGATGAACCTAAGGACAAAAAAAAAAGGATAAAAATAAATAAATATGGTAAGATACTTGTAAAGTAAGATATGGTAAAAAAGGAAGGGAGGTGGAGCCCACCAGGGACCAGGGAGGGCCCACTGAGCTCCACATAGGCCCAACTGCTCCGATTTTTGGGAATTATTTGGTGCGTGCATCTTTACCGTTCATATTCTATAATTCTCTCGTCATTGTTAGATGTACGGTCCCTATAAAATACAAATAACTCAAAATTAATGTGATTTTTTTTAATCATGATTGGACGCTCAACTATAATGTAATCGCCCGCACCAGATTACTTCTCTCCCAACGGAATTTCACCGACACGTTTCTTTGTTTCTCATTTCCCTTTTCACAAATTCTTTTCATATATATATATATTAGATAATGTGTTCAAATTCTAAAATATTCCTTGTTTGAGTGCCCCTTTTAGTTTCATCTATTTTGGTAACTTAATTTTTATTCATTTTAGTTATTGTGATTTTAAAATATTTGTTATGGTTCAGGTATTTGAAGTGACCATTTGGTCTCTATTTGCAAATATTTTAGTACGAATGAAACATTTAATACATTTTCTATGGTTATATTTCAAAAAAATTAGTTAGTGCAATGTCATGTTAAAATTATTATTATAATAAATTAGATACAACTAAAAATGAGGGGACAAAAATTGTCACTTTAAGATATACATAAACCAAGATAAATGTTTCGAAAGTACAGTGACGAAAATGAATAAAAGTTGAAAACATAAACATAAAATAAACGTTTTAAAAGCACGAAAACTCAAATAAACCAAAATCACAAGTACATGTGCCATATTTAAACTTAATAGTATATAGTTATTAGGGAAGATGGTATGAATCTATGACTTGCAAAAAATAATTTGATATCTAACTAGTTAAGTATAAGATCTACTTGTCAATCCAAGCATAGTTGAACGGATTTAGGCACCTATTTCCGATCAAAAGATCGTGATTTTGAATGATCTACTTATTAGAGATATCTTAAATCAACTTCATTTATTTAATATCTACTAGTTAAGTATAAGGTTTACTTACCAACCTGAAGATAGTTGAACCAGTTTAGGTACCTATCTCCAACAAAAAGATAGTGAGTTAAGATATCTTAAATTGACTTCATTTATACTTTTAAAAAAACAAACTTAATTTTACTGGTGTTGATTTGTTTCTGGTGTTTGTTTATTTATTTGAATGAGGTTATTTTTTCCAAAATTGACATTTTAAAACTACACAGGAAATAAAATGAACCAGAGTGAAAGGTTTTTTTTTTCTTGTTTTTTTACCAAAATATTATTTAGAGCTCTATTTAAACTAAGAATTAGTTTGAAGATTAAGGGAACCGTTCTCCTTAAATTAGGGATTTTGTAGCAAAAAGAGTGGGTTTTGAATTCAAACATTACGACTCTCTCAATAATTATGAATGAATAAGGAGAATGGATGTCCTAATCCCAAAATATGCCTTCAATTCAGCCACGCAATCCAATTGCTTCCTCTTCACTAAAGTTTGAAAATTTTAATAATATCAAAAGTAAAATTCCTTTGTTACTTTTCTTCTTTTCTCCCAATCATAACTTTTCTTTTCCAATCAATTATGATGAATTATCACATCACACTCTAAATTTTGGACCAACACAATGTTTTAATAGTATTTATTATATTGGGTTAAATACTGTTTTGTATTTTTCATTATTGTTTATTTTGATTTTTATATTTTAAATTTTATCCATTTTAGTTGATATACTTTCAAAACATTTATTTTGATTTCTATACAATGGTCACGTTGATTCCTATATTTTTTTAAATGATCATTGCTATATAAAGTCTATTTAGCATTTTGTTCATTTATATAAATAAAAAAAAATCCCACCCTACCATTATAAATAATAATAATAATAATATCAATATGAGAGTAATACAATGGGTAAAGACACATATTATCGAGCAGAGTATTTACTTGGAATCTTTATTTGTTATTACTAAAAAAATAACAAATTAAAAAAAAACTCATAATTCTCGGTGAATATATTATATTTAAAGTACATTTCATCAGTTTGACATTTTTTTTTTGCCAGACCAGCACAATGCGCCACCAGATCAGTGCCACGTCATCCTCTGGTCATGCTTTCTATTTTCCATTTTTATTATCTTGCCATATAGTATGCCAATTAATATTATTTATATATACAAATATACTCGAAGAAATTAATTTAATTTATATTAACAAATACCAACAAAAAATAAAAAAAGTGAAAAGTTCTGAAAGGACCCTCTCCTGTCTGAATCAATCACAATTCCCCCTCCCATCCCCCAAATAATAACAAATAATAAGGAAAGAAAAAAAAACTCATTTTACACTATTATAATTTTTAAGTTGTTTAGATATGTATTTACAAAGATTGTATAGTATACTAATTTTTTTTAAAGAACAAAAAATAAAAATTAATTTGTCACATTCATATTTACTATTAAATGCCAATTTTAAATACTAATTTGAGTATGATAATGTCAGTATAACTCAACTATTTAAAATATAAAGTACAATTTTGTGAGATTAGAGGTTTAATTCTCATCCAGATTATTGTTGATGAATTAAAAAAAAATAATAATTTGAATATAATTAAATTGGTATTAATTTAATGATGTTTTTTATTGGTTGAGTGGATTAAGGAGCTTATTATTTTTAAAACATATTCAAAATTTGAGAAAATTATTCCCTTAAAATGATTAGTTCACTTAAAATTTATAAAATCTTATATTACAAATAAGAAAAATGGGATTTAATCCTATGATATTTATGACGAAATATATTTAAATTATACTGAAATCAATATTTTACCTTAAACTAAAATTTAATTTTCAAGTACCCATCAAAGTATATATGACTTATGAGTTAAATTTGATCCCATTAACAATAGTTTAAACATGTTATATTTCATTGCTTAAATTGATGCAAATTTTTTTCCAGATTTTTTTACGAAACAATCAATTTAAAACAACATAGAAAATAGAGAGAATACTCTGAATTAAAAATACACAAACAAAAGAACCAGTCAAGAAAACCCAACTATTATTAAATGATATGCTAAAATTCCATCCACATTAAAAAAATGGATAAAATCTTAAATCGTGGGAGATGATTAAAAAGAAAAAATAAAAGATCCTAATCTCATAAAAATAATACTTAACATCCTAATTACCAAAGAAAAGTCTGACAAGTATTTATTAAAAAAACAAATAATTGTATATTCTTTTCCATACCTCTCCCTCTCAATTGTTAAATAATTACTTACTCGAGTGTCTTATTCTTACCATCATCGTAATAAAGGAGTAATATTTAGATATCGACAGCATTTTAATTTTTTCAAATAAAAAATAGAAATATAAAAAAAGATATATATTTTTATTATGTTCTTTTAAGAGCTAAAGAACTATCAAAATTTTATTTTTATTCTAATACATCAAAATTTTATTTGGATAAGTATTTTTGTGCTACAACTAATAGAGACAAATGTAGAGAAAAATCCGGTGCCACTGAGAAATTTTTAATACATTATTAGCCATAAAAACATTTAAAGAGTATTATTATGATAATTCTCAAAACAATGAGTAAAATCTCAATAAATATTATTTTTATAGATACAATAAACACCATCAAGGATATAATTATGGTTGAGCTAAATTTATGTTATGATATAATTATTGTTGAGTTAAATTTATGTTGACATAGATATTTTTTTAATATTAATAATTCCACGTCATTTTTAACAACGAACCTAAGTAAATATAGGAATCATGTTTTTAAATATTTGTCGATGTCTCGATATTTCTATCCAATTTTTCATAGATTCAATATAGACTCGAGGAGTAAATCGACACTTCCATCACAATATGAAAAATATCAACAAAATATCACTGAAACATACATAATATTAAGATTAATATTAATTTTTTAATAATTTTTTAATTTTAATATCAATCGATATTTCTATGAAATCGAGACATGGAAATTTTTATCACATTTAAAACATATCTATCAATAATCTTGTAAATTGTAAACAAAGCAACTGTAGTGAAACTTGTCAACTGAGATGACGAAGTTATCCATTTGTCCAGAGCTCCACTGCAAAAATGGCTACTCAGAGAGAGAGAAATGGCCATGGCTATGGCGGCGATGGTAGCGAGGTTGATGATGTCTGAAGAACTTGAAGAACGTGCCCAAAAACAGAGGCAGTGGTAGTGGCAGTCGCAGCCCTAAAAAACTTTTCTTCCATACAAAGCTCGCACCGGTGGGCCCTCCCCCAACCGTCACCAAATTCTTCCACTTTCACCCAACACCATCACCATTCTCTCTTTCATCCCACCATTGTCAAAATCTTCCTCCTCTGCTTCTTTCTTTCTTTCCCTACCTTTTTCTCCATGTCTTTAATGGCGGCCGATTTGCGAATTCTTCGTCAAAAGATAAAGGGTCGGTGCTAGGTGAGCATCTGGTCCTCTCTTTGTTTTTTTGGCTGTCAACGGAGATGCCCACATTCTAAAAGTCTTGGTTGTTTTCTGTGCGGGCGGTGGAATTGCTGAAATTGGATATTTTGGACTTTCTGTGAAGAATTTGGTGGGGACTACTAGGGAGAATTTTGCTGAATTTCGATCAATTTCGGTTCGATTTGGAGAGTTGAAGCGTGTTTCGGGAAATTTTTTTCAGGGCTTTGAATCTGTTCAGGCTAGAGATTGATTTGCAAATTGTGGCGTTTTTGAGTTGAGCTGACTGGAAATCGTGAAATTGTACTGAATCGGAAGTTGCTGAATTTGGGTTTTGATGCTTTTGATCAACCTTTTCTTTAGCAAGAAGAATTGATGAACCGTTTGCGATCATGAAATTTTGTTGGAGATGATGGTCCTTTAGATGTCTTTTCTTCGAAGTTAACTACGAATCTCTCAATATTCTAAGATTTTACCGAGTTTTTTAGCACTTTACAGCGCTCTGATTCGATACCTTGCCATCTTAAGAAGCTGGGATTGAATTTTGCTGTGTTTCACCCGATTGATCATCTGGATTCCATGCCAATTCTTCTCTGCACTGGCCTTTTAAGCTTCTGCTCTCGAGGTTAGCTTGTCGGTGAATTTTCCGGGAAAAAAAAAAAAGCCAGAAATTGTGTTTGTAATTGTTTCTAAGTTGTTTTTCTTCTTCATTCTTGTCATCAGATTTCATGCAGCCATACAAGTGAAAGATTTTGGACAGAATTTTTTGGAAGAAAATGGCGAAGAAGTCCAAAAGACTTACGGTGCGTTATGAGAAGGATCAATCGGGCTGTATGTGGGGTTTGATTAGTTTATTCGATTTCCGCCATGGCCGCGCCTCGAGGAAGTTATTAGCAGACAGGAAGCGTCCGAACAGGCAAACTGTTGGTAAGAATGTTATTTTTTATTCAGTTTTTTCATAGATCGGAAGTCCTTTCGTCTCTCTTTGAGTTGAATTTCCTCAACTTTTGACCTGCAAGTTCTTGTTGATCAAATTTCTTTACCTATGGTTCTTTGGAGAATCATCAAATCTAGAGTTCATAATTTCAGTTTTTGGGCAGTTTTAGTTTCTTTTCCCTCTGTTTTTTCCTGCTGCCTAGAATCTTTATATATGCAAAAGTTTCAAATTTCACCCTTGCACTCAAAGAGTTGTTTCAAGCGCCATGAACTCCCTAAAGCTTACGGAGTGATTGCAATTTCCTCAGTGGTTGGATTTAGTTGCAATAATTTCATAAGTTAGAGAATATAATTGCAACAATTCATAGTTAATAGTTTATTGTTTAATGATGATTTAGGGTTTAGGGTTTATGATTTAATTGTTACAATTGATCTTTATAGTTCAGGGATGAGTTCATAAGTTTGGAGTAATTGCTCAAATTGAAAACTCGAATGTGTGATTGTAACAGTCTTTTAATAGTTCATTGTTGGATTTTCGCACTTTTATCTTTCATAAATAATGTCGATGGTATTTTGTTGGAAATGCAGCTGAATCTCCTCTTCTTGTGCAGGTGCTGGAAATTCAAGAAATAAGTTCGAGATTTTGGCTAATTTGGATGAAGATTGTACTTCTACTTTGGCAAGTTTTTCTCCATATACAACAGTTTCTAGCAGAGTGGATGTATGGTTTATATTCTAATTGATTGGATGTTGTGTATATTTCAGGACAGTGAAGAATGCAAGAGACTGGACATTGGAAAGCCTAGTGTGAAGAAACTCATAGAAGAAGAGATGTTCGGCGAGCAGGACATGAAGAGGACCGAGTGTGAACACTCGAGCAACTTAAAGACGACTGATCAGAAGAAAATGAAGAAGTGTCGCAAGAATAGCTGTGATATTGATGCTGATTCCTTTAATGCTGCTGAGTTTTTGAAGGAAAAAAGTGCTAATAATATCCCTGTTGATGTGATGCTGAAGGAAATTTACAGTCAGATCCACCGGAAGAGCACAAGTGAAATGAAGTTTGACCCGGATGATAAAGCAGATATGCAATCAAATGGGTATCTGGCTGATTTAGAGCAAAAAGTATTCGAGGCAATTAAGGAATATTTAGGCCAGAAGTTCAATATTGGGAAAGATTTCACTGAAATTCAGAAAGTTCAACATTCGAGAGAGATCATGGATGCACTTCAGATTCCCCATTCCAATGATGAGCTGTTTCTAGAACTCGCACAAAACCCAAACTCTGTGTTGCTAAAGTACATTAGAAATTTGCACGATAGGGAAGGAACCTATCGAAAGGGAACGATAACTGAGGAATCCAAGTCACACGAGTTCGGTGAAGTTAGGCAGTCTGAGGAGCTTGTTGATTATAAGCAACGTTTATTTTTCAGGAGAAAGGTCAAGCATCGGGGAAGGAACCCATCGAAAGGGAATGATAACTCTGATGCCTCGAGTAAAATTGTCATCCTAAAGCCAGGGCCGAAAGGCTTGGTGAATTCTGAGGCCGAGACCATCCATCCATCAGCCCAAAATTCTACTGCTGATGATAAAAGGAAAGTGCCGAATGAGAGGGTTAGTTCTAACTTTTTTCTTGCTGAAATCAAGAGGAAGTTTAAATATGCTATGGGAAAAGATCACCATGAACTCTCTGCTAATGTTTCTGATAGATTTCATTGTGATCATCACACTATGAGAGAGAGTGAAAAGGGTGTTATCAAGGAAAATGCTGCAAGGAATTCTACTAGTAAGGACCATTTTTTTATTGAAAGAATTTCCAGACCTTCCATCAATGGCAAGCGAGCAGAGAAGGCTGGGAAACTGAAAAACTTGGAAGTAAATCAAGATTTGGGAAATATTTATAACAATAGGAGAAGCCCGTCTAATATTTATGTCGAGGCGAAGAAACATCTTTCTGAGATGCTTAGCAGTGGGGACGAGAGTGTAGATTTTTTAAGGGGACACGTACCTAAGACACTCGGTCGGATTCTCTCTATTCCTGAGTATAGTTTTTCTCCCATTAGTAGTCCTAAAAAGGACTACAAGCACAGCCCAATTACTTCAGAGATGAGATTTTCTGCTGGTATCAGTCTTTTAAATGGTAATAGTAATGAAATTATGCTATCGCCCAAGGGCGTAAATAACGATATTCCAATCAGTCCAGGAAAAGTTCCATTGTGCGTTTCTGATGACACCCCAAGCACCGTGCAGCCTCCAATTGATAGCCATAATATTGTTGATCAAAGTACAAGGGAAGTTGATGTGAGCTCTAGTACTAATGGGATGAATTCTGAAGGTATTATATCTCTAGATAGTCCAGTTCATGGGATTAGTCTAGTCATCAATTGGCCTGTCCAATCTTCTAGTTTTATTTATTAACCTTTCATATTCAATAATAAACTTGCAGGTGATATTGAGATTCTAAAAGTGAACGAAATTGCAGTCCATGAGGAGAGAAGTATTTTGGACACTCCCTCTGATTCAATTGGCTCTTCCCCTCCGAGAGAAGATCAGAACGGTAAAATGCTCGATGCATGTGATGAGAGAAGTGTTTCTGATGTTTCCTCTGACCCGATCGCCTCTTCCCCCATCAGAGAAGATCATAACGATGACACGCCAGATGTGGGCGATGATAAACCTTCCAAAAGCTTGCCTCAAGTAATCTATCTTCTAACTTTTGTGTTTATATCTCTCATTATTTCCCTTACTATAAGTTTATAACATATAACTATAAGGTGAATTAGCTTATGTTATATCCCACGATGATGAAAATCCATCTGAAATATTCAAGTTGTTACAATAAGCCTGCTTCTGGTTTACTAATCTATGATAAATTAACTTCCCATCTGGAAAAAACGTTAAATGGTCAGTTTTTCCAATGTTTGATGCTTATACATGTTCTCAAAGTAGTAGTACTGCTCGAGATCATCTTGTGAAATGTACTTTCCTACAGTACTGAATACCCAATATGTGTTTATGGAAATTTTTCGAGATCATCTTGTGAAATGTACCTTCCTACAGTACTGAATACCCATTATGTGTTTATGGAAATGTTTCGCTTAAACCATTTCTTCTGTTTAGGATTTGAGTGAAGAAAATAGATTGCCACCATCTCCCTCAACATCTCCCTCCAGCTCATCTACACTCGAAAAGGCTGTTGGAGATTTAGAGTGCATTTCTGATGTTCAGGAGCGGCCGAGCCCTGTTTCTGTTCTAGAGCCACTATTTTTAGAGGATAACTTGAGCCCCGTGTGCGCCATGTCTCTGCCTGGTAGACATCTAAGATCAATGATGGAGTTTATTCGTATATTTTATGTTTGATTTTACCTAACTTCGGTAAGTGTTAAGCTTCTTATGATAATACTAACCTTGGCTACTATCTGTTCATTCTCTCAGTGGGGTTACCAGTACAACCAGTGCATATTGAATTTGAAGATCGTGAACATGCAGAAACCGATAAAGCTAGCGTCCCGAAATCGTTTAAGGAAGATAAGGAAGTCATTTTTGACTATGTAAAGGCAGTGTTATTAGCGTCAGGCCTTACCTGGAACCAAATCTGTGTAAAGTGGCTTTCTTCAGAACAGCTTCTTGACTTGTTACTAATTGACGAAGTAGAGCTTTTTCCAAACCAGCTATGCTCCGACCATAAGCTCCTCTTCGACTGTATTAACGAAGTACTCGCAGACGTGTGCCAAAGCTATCCTCCATGGTTCTCATTTGTAAAGCCTAATTTACGGTCCGAATATCTTGTCGAGATTTGTGAAGGAGTATATTGGCTTCTTCTTCCATTGCCACAGCCTCTTACATTGGACCACCTTGTTACAAAGGACATGAGCAGAAGCAGAGCATGGATGCACCTTCATTCTGATGCTGAAACTATTGGTACTGAGACGTGTGAAGCCATATTTGACGATTTGGTGGATGATACAATATTAAGCTGCGTCTTACACGATAGTTCAGAATCCGATGACGGATCTCACTCGGAGAATGGAGATGTGAGGGATAACTTGTAAAGAATTAGAGTCAGTCTGCATCTGGTGATCGTAATAATCAACTAGGGAGGGCCCCTTCTTTACGAACTATAATACGACTGAGCTTTTGTTCTAACTTGGTCTCCTGCGATCTGTGTAGATATCATCAACCACAATCTTAATAGTTCCATAACCATGGCTTTTTCTAGCCTTCCCTGGTTGTTTTGTCGTCAAACTAATGCCTTCGACGGAGAAGGTTCAAGAGTTCGTTCGTCCGCAGAAACAGTCTGGTTTTTTCCAGATATCATCTTTGGGATCAGGTGCGAGGTTCACCTAGCTGTGTCGTTGGAGGTGGCAGCCTCCTTTGTAGATCTTGTAGAGTTTTGTGTGTTATATTAGTCGAGGATATATCAATATCGATATGGCGTGGTTTGATTCATTGATTTTTTTTTTTTCTGTTCTGGTCACTTGTTAGTGTCTCGTGCGCTTTGTCGCCATATTTGCAAAGCTTTTATGACAATGACTGAGAATTTGCTTGTTTTTCGTATAAAGATGTAATAAAGGGCGTTCCCTATTGACATTTTCACGCACTGAAGAAGAAGTTTTATGCATTAGCTTTTCCTTTGCTAAAGTTTGTGCCTTTCCCCTTTTCTTATTCTGTGTATTTTCTTTATTCTTTGATCCAAACTACAAAATCCAAAACTCTGATCCTAAGGAATAGTTGGATTTGTTCGGTTTCGGTTTCGGTTAGTTTGATGGACGATTTTCTTCAGTTGATAATCATTATTCTTTACCGTGTTTGGTTGGTGTTAATTTTGGTTTTTTACGTGCAACCCCAATAAATAGTTAGATTGGTTTAGTTGAAATAGATTTTGTCGGTTTCAATTGGTTCAATAGTCGAGTTTCGTTGATTTTTTAAAATTTGTAATTAAGTAACTTGTAAGTGTTAAAAGTTAATACCTAACTTGTGTACTATAAATTTGTAGCATTCAAAAACTGATGAGACGAGCAATGCAATTTTGTTATCAGTTTGTGTATTTAATTGATGTTGGTATTCACACTATATGAAAATTATGATTTATCATCCATTATTGTAATTTTGTTCATAACTGATTTTTTCTTCTATTTATATTTTAATTATATTATGCAGTTGTGTATAGAAATTTCTTATTGAAGTCTCTTTATACACAACCACGTCAAGTTGTTTAATCTAATCAACATATCATTTTTTTAAGGGTAATCAACATATCTTATTTGGACATATACAACTAACATACCTTTAAATATGGTCGAATAATTGATTTATTATCAATGTAGTTTTGCAAAAATAACGAACAATATTAATGAACACATAATTACGTTTGGCTCACACGGTCACGTTTTATATTTAAATTATGATTATTAGATATAACTGACGATAGAACTCATTTACAAGTTTGAATTTAAAAATAATTTTTAAAACAAAAAAGTTTATCTTTGAGAAAATAAAAGAAACAACTCTAAAAAAATTTATAGTTTAAATATATATATATTTATAATTTTTTTTTCGGTTGTTACAAACACTCCACCTAAAAAGAAATTTCGTCCTCGAAATTTACATAAAAGAATAATTTAGCATATCTATCTATCGTATCCTTTTCAGTTTCCTATATATTGCAATGAGAAAAGAATATGAGATCAAGGCAGATAAAAGAAAAAAAAAAGTAAAAAATCTAACCAGAAAAACAACCCCCACAAAACCAAGAACAAGACAAAAAATACAAACAAAACACACACTTGAAAAGAAAAAAATAACCCAATTGTGAAAATAACTTTGGAGCTGATTCCATCAAAGTTCGGCCTTCAAAATTACCACCATCTCGCCAATTGAAGCACAATCATAAGCATCACTCTGAACAAAGATATAGTATAATCAAAACCGGAAAATAGATATCTCATAGATTATAGATTATGGAATTACATGCTCTTCAAATAAATATATCTTTTATATACGAGTGCGTTTTCTTTACCAGAAAAGCCATCGGAAACTAATGTTAGGTTAATTATTGCTCAAATAAAGTATAGATTGAAAAATTACTATTACCCAAAAATGGTAGTCAAATCGAAGCGAACATAACTCAACGGTAATCGACATATGTCTCCAACAAAAAGGTTGTGAATTCGATCCCCACCCCCACATGTTGTATTAGGAAAAAGAAAACGAGTAGTCAAGTCGTATTTATTTCATACAAATTTCTCATAAATCTAATTAGACGTCGTATTAAAGTTATTTTAAATAATTCCACAAAAAAAAATTAAAATAATAATAATGCCACATAAACAGTACAATTTAATAACTATCGTTTTCACAATTTTATCTTCAAACAGCCTTACTATTTTACCCTATAAAGAAACTTGGGCTTACCAAATGTTCTTATTTCCAAGACACCGACCAGACGAAACACAATTTTAGATTAGATTATTGTAAAATAAATAAGAATAAAAAATGAATAAATAAATGTCAAAGATTCATTCTTGTAATTGTAGCCCACAATCCCAGCCCCGATGTTACTTGGATTTTTCTTTTTTTAAAATAACGTTTATTTCCAAACTATTAAACATATAATGTATTGATGAAAACTTATTTAAAAAATAATGCTTTTGAACTTTTCAAATTACTCGACTCTGAATGATATTTATGTGAGTTAGCTGAACAAATTTCAAGCGACATGTTAACTCAGTACTCATCAGAAACGATATGCGAATATAGGAGAAAAAGGGTAAAATATCACAAGGAAGCATTGAACACAAATAATTATAAGATACATCAAATGGTGGTATAGGAACTACTGAAACTTTACTTTGTATTAGCTCGTACAAAGACAATACAATCAATGTTTGAAGTGGTTCCTGAAATTAGGAAAAATGCAGTCAAAACTTGGGAGTCTCCTAAAAAGGAAGTGAAGCCAAAATCTTCCCTCTTAAGAGACCCCCAAAATAGTGAAAGTGAAGTAAAATAAAGCTCTACCTTCCTACTTTGCCTTTCCCCTCTTTCCTTTTTTACCAGACTTTTTACCCCTTGATGGTCTGTTCTTCATGTGCTGAATTCTATTTTCCTTCTTCTGTCGTTCCTTCCGAATTTGGTCGAGGTTTTTAACTTCCGGACGCACATGAGCATTAGGCACTGAATGCTTATTCTTGCCTGGCCCAAACTTTCTTTTATTTCCCGAAAATCGTTGATTTCCTGCAACCAGATTTGATAGCCTTTCACATATGTTGGAAATTGGAATACTAAAATAGTAAAACTAAGTGAAAGAAAAGTCGAGATCAACTCATGATGGCGGATGAAGGAACAAGTGTATTACCAGCAGTGTTTATGGCTTCACCATTTCGTTCTGTTCCTTTTAGAGAGATCTTATTGTGTGATCGTTCTTTCCATTTCTTGTATATGCCGGTCTTGTTAGCTTTTACTTTTGCACCGCTTTCTGTCTTTACCTGTTTATTTTATAGAAGAAAATAGCTTCTCATAAAGATATTCCTAAGCCCTAGAAATAGAGATAGAATCAATGCTGAGAGAATTTTTTAAACATTAACACCAAAATGGTAAATGGATCAACAACGTACCTTTCCACTGGCTGTGACCCGATCGCCATTGTTTAACTTCACATATTTCTTACCCCGCTGTCACCAAAAAGTAGTAAGATGTTATATTGATTAGATTTTAGATGAGAATAATAATATCTACATTTACTCATGCTACGTTTACCCGTGTTTGGTAATGGTACCTACCTTATCCCAATGGTATACGGATTTCTGTTTCTGCATGCCAGAACTATCATCTGCGACTAGATCTAGAACAGCAGTATCCAACCTAAAAGAGATGCACTTATAATTGTTATCAAATAAGAAAAATGCTGGAAGATATAAGATACAGAAACCCAACCCCTTCCCTTCCCCTCCCCCTTCAATGAAATATTTGTAATATTACTGGCTAAGAAAATTAGTAGGTTCAATCATAAATTAGAACAGTTAACAAAGTTGTATAATGAAGTACCTGTTAGACCCAAAACCTTGATCAGCTTTTACAGTTAGTCCTGCTTCGGTATGCTGTGAGTCAAACCAAAACAAGAGTCAGCAAGATTAATATATTTATATTTTTGCAATATCATAAGAAAGTATCATAATGGAACTTTAGAAAGAAGGGGAAAAAAGAAAAGAGAAAAAGGCAAGCAGAAACATCAAAGGTAAGTAAATGGCAAAAGACCTACATGATTTGTTGGTACTGAACTTATGTAAAACTCCTCATCCTTGAAACTTGCCGTCTTTCTTCTCTTTAATCCTCGAGGTCCTAAAACCCCAAAAGATATCCAATCCATTATATAAGCACGAGGGAAAATCTTGAAAAGCTAATGGGAGAACACTAAGAAAATTTATTACTATGCTCCGGAGTTGAGAATTAATTTGACAAAATTGGTTCTGGATGCTGCTACTAACTTTCCATCAAGAACATGATCAGGACTTGACTCATATATGCACTCTTTTGATCAAAGCTAGACATTTTCTTTAAAAAATTTCAATAGATTTGGGTAGCATTCCATGCTCACATATGTACTCTTTAGATGGAATGACATCAGTCTCTCTTCCAGTTTCGGTAAGGAGGGGGGGATGGGAAAGAGAGAATGCCATACCTTTCTTCTCCTTATCCTTTGGAGAAATGTTTTCCAATGGGAGTTCCTGAAAATATCGAATACAATTTAGCAAGATATACTTTGAAAAAGCAAACTGCAAACTTAAAGATCATAATTTCAAATTATTAATCATTATCGGGCAGATCTTCGCAAGGAACCTCAGGCCTCTGTGGTCAAAAGCTCAACAGTGAGCTTTTGCCTTTCACTATAAACATTGAACATTAGGAAAAAGAAACCCAAATAATCCAAAGGAGACGACCACCTCCTCCACATGCTTAGCAGAGCGTTGCTGATGAACTAAGTTAATGACCTCCTCATGAATAGCTCTCTTTCTCTTCATCACATCAGCCCATTGGCTAGGACCCTGCAACAGTGCCGTTGTTGAAGAAATCATTTGACATCAACGAGGAAAGGAAAAAAAAATCTTAAAAATTTATTATGCAAAATGGAATTACAAAAGACAAAATTATAAACAATCTTATTTCAAAAGTAAAATAGTGAGTTTTATCAACTTAACAAAATTCAAGTTTGTTTAGTTTGACCGAAACTAATTTCAGGAGGATCACAAAATAAATGAACTCATATCAATTCAACTTATCTGAACCAGATCAACCCAAACAAGTAGTCGAAATTGAGTTGATCACATTTCCAAGTCATCACATATTTTTAACACCTCTAGAGTTCATCCCACCAAATCCATTGTGGTCAGAGGTTGAATATGACATTTTGAAATCTTCGTGTGGGCAGTTTTTTTGTTGTAATGTGTGAAATATAAATTCAAAGGTGATGAACAATACTACGAGGAACATAAAAGATCATTCGGAAACTGTAACATTTGTTTCTTCTACCTGGAGCAATTCTCTAAACATTTTTGTAATTATACTACTATCCATCGTCCGGGTCAATAGGAGATTCTTTTTAGAACACAATGACACAATTGTATCACCTATAGAATATATCATGTTCAAGTAGCATCGTAATAGGAGATTCTTTCTTGTAACTTATTTGGCCTTGTTTCAAGGTTTTTCTTCCTCTTATTTATATTTCATTCATCCATAGAAATTATTTCACATAAACAGTATTTAACACTGTCAACCTGAGATTTTCATTTTTTCTTCATCAACACAACAGGAATGATGTTAGTTCATAGAAATGCTACCTACGTATGTATAATAATAATAAATAAAGCTTATTAATTCATCAACAGATGGTTATAAAATTATTTCACCAACAGCCACAAGCTAGAAAAGTCACAAAACCCATATACAAACCTGATGATGCCTTAACTTAGCAGCTTCTCCTTCAGCTTCAAGTATAGTCTGCTTGGGTCTGATGAAATAAAAAATTGTTAGAAGCACGATTTACCAGGCCAAGACTAACTTTTCTAGATTTCTTAAAACCTACAACTGAAAAAGGAAAACAAGCTATTTGCATTGACCTGAATGTTTTTAAACGCTCTGAGAAGGCCAATGCCATTAGTTCACCACCTTCCAATACATTTTTGAAGATTGGATGCAACCCTTCTCGAGGTAAGTCCTTTGCCCTTCTGATAGACTCTTTTGAAGGTAGAGGTTTTGTCTTTGAATACAAGCGAAAGGCATTCGAACTGGTTTTCTGCAGAGAAATCAATTCTGCTGAAGAATCAATAGTTTCTCTAATTCTATCAGAAGCAAGATCAATAACTGTCTGTGGGAGACGTCCATATACAGTTTCTCCACTTGCAATTGCATTCTCTATTTTAGAGATCACTCCCTCCTTATCAAGTAAAACCTCATCTTCCGTAGGTGCAGCTCTTATAGGTTTTGAGAGAAAAAGATGAAGATCTAAAAGGTTAGGGAGATCTTCAGAAGTTACAAATGAAAATGCTGTACCAGTTCGACCAGCCCTAGCAGCTCGTCCAACACGATGTACAAAGATTTTAGGTTTTGGAGGGAAGTCCCAATTGATAACATTATCAAGCAATGGGATGTCAATGCCCCTAGCTGCCACATCAGTCACTATTAAGAACATTGTTTTTCTAGCTCTAAATCTTGATATATGAATCTTACGAGCATCTTGGTCCATGTCACCATAGCATACAGACGGCTCAATACCTTCCTCTCTGAACAAAACATTTAAAAACTCCACATGATGCTTAGTGGATACAAAAATCAAACTTTGTTGATCAGCACTAATGTGCTCTCTGATTAAATACAACAATGCTGCATTTTTCTCTTCTTGACGCAAAGTAAAGAAAACAAGCTTTAAGTCAGGGCTAATCTTAGTTTCCAAATCAAGGCGCACAAGCTGGGGATCACGAAGACCAGCCTTTGCAAACTCTGCAAGAACACTTGGTAAGGTTGCACTGAAAAGCAAGGTTTGACGATTTTCACTCAGTTGTGCAAGGATTTTATGCAACTGCTCGGCAAAACCCATGCCAAAGAGACAATCAGCTTCATCAAAAACTACATATTCCACCGTGCGCAAGGACATGTCATCAACCTCAGACAAATGGTGCATTAGCCTTCCAGGAGTGGCAATTATGATATCAGGACTTTGAGCCAATTCTTCAAACTGTGTTTCCATACTATCACCGCCTACCAATAAACTAATTCGAAGATCTGCAGCAAATAATAGATGATAAATAAATATGATCATTTCAGTGATACATTGCATAATTTTATCGCCAATTGAAAGACATTAACAACATAGCTACTCTTCAAGCTTTCCATTACATGTCATTGCAGGCACATCATCTACTAAAACAAAATTAATTCCAAAATCTAGCAGGTTCAAATTAAGTATTTTCCTATGAGTTTGACATTTTGACAGTTTTATGTGTTTCAATCGTTGCTAACAACTCGAACCAATATGACTAAACAATAACAGAAAACGTTTAGGAACCTGTGAAGTGAACTGTGTTCCAATCATATGGCAGGCATTGAAATCCTAAAAAATCTCATAAATCAGAACTCTAATTAAGAGAATTAAACTGACCCGTGAATTTCCCAAGTTCCTTGGTGAACTTGAGAGTCTGAAGCGCCAAGTCCCTGGTAGGAGACAAAATGAGAGCCCTAACACCACCCTGAGGATCGTGCTGTTTTAGCCGCTCCAACATAGGCACCAGAAAGGCAGCAGTTTTACCCGACCCCGTCCGTGCCATGGCCACCACATCCGCGCCGGAAAGTATGAGCGGCATGGTTTTCCTCTGAATTGGGGTGGGCACTCTATAGCCCTTGCGCTTGATTCCTCTGAAGACATTGGGACTGAGGCCTAAAGACTCGAAGCCTCCAGACTTGGCCTTCTTCTGCTGCTTCTCTCTACGCTTCAGCTCCGCTTTGGAACTGACATGAAAGGGCTCGTCCTGCTTCCCCATAGGATCCCTTGAGCTTGCAGTGGATCTTCTTCCTAACTTCGCAGAAGCGAAATATGTAACTACGGCTAGGGGTTTTCACTGGTCGGGTCGGGTTGGGTTAGGGGCATTTTTTTTGTACCAACCCGAATTTTCGCGTTTGCTTGTGTTCTTTGAAAGAAGAATCCAAATTGGCACCTCTCCTTGACGAATAAAAGATGTGCCTTTAACATCTATCTGCTACACACACACACACACACACACAAAATAAATAAATAAATAATCCAGGAATTATGAATTGATTCTCTTTTCTATTTGAACTTTGTCTAACTATAAAGATTAAAACAGCACAACGAATGTGAATTTTGGCAAGTGTTTGTTTATTGGCCTTATTTTCCTCCTGGACTATGAAGGACTGTAGATATATAAAGCAAAGGAAGGAACCGAAGTGCTGACCTGAAGGCTGAAGCTGCGACGGCGGGCGGCGACGGAAGCTGCGAAGGCCCGCGTCCACGGGAGCTTAAGTGAGAGAAAAACTGGAGAGAAAGGCTTGAGAGAAAACCTAACCTACCATCAACGGTTAGGATTAAAACTCTTGAAGATTAAAAATTATTATATATTTATAATTTAAATATATATATGTGTGTGTATATATATATCTTTCGGTCGGGTCGGGTCGGGTGAACCCATGTTTTTTAAGATCGAACACGAGATCCGATCTGACTTGGTCGAGTTGGAAATTTCGCAATCTACCCAATTCGAAGATTAATTGAGGGGGGTTTTCCTTTTCCTTTATATAAGAAATTTTGGAGGGTGAAATATGTACGATCTATTCTTTCCTTAAACCAAYAGCGAACCAATTTTTCTTATTTGACAGCCCTTCTTTTATTTATTTATTGATAATAAATAAGTAACTCGAGCTTGAGCCTCCATCATAATAAAGTGTAACAACTAAAGTTTTTTAGTGGATAATATACAATAACATTATAGCTGTATATACATAGCATTAATGGCAAGGTATAATTGTAATTCTTTCTTTCCAATTTACAATTAAATGTTTTTTCAAATCTTATATTTACTAATCTCACGGACAACCGATCTTACAACATTAATTCCTAAGGTAGGTGGTCATCATAGGTTTGAACTCATTCCTTCTTAGTTAACTCTAACCTCTTTGGATCAATGAGTCACTAATGATGGTTTAGTTTGGAAAATCAATTATAGTTAAGTCACTTTTTTTTTAAATCACTATTTTCATTATCATTCCCAAACACGTAATAGTGACGAGAATATCTGTTTCGAGATCAATGTTTCTAAATTACAATACAAATGCACAATATGCCAAAAAAAGGAGGTGTAAAGGCTGGAGTTTCTCTCATTTTCTATGTTGTATTTGTATTTTATGTTGAACCTGTAAATAAACACCATTTACAAGTTGACTCCCAAAGAACATCTGCCCAAGTTCTCAATGATGCTAAACTATAAAATTTCAGGCGACACCTAAAGGGCCATGGAAAATCCAATTACAATTATTTCAGTTACACTAAGCTTACAAACACACATAATTGCCACATCAACTCTAACTCAAACTCTCGAGGAAGATAAAAGACGCACCCGACGGTTTAGATGTCTTCTTCCATGAGCTCGTTTTCATTAGTCAAATATTTTCTCTTATCTCCATATTGCATGTATGTTAGGATACCGAATATATTAAATGAAATTAAGTAACTATACTGCAATATCCAAAGAGAAATTACAATACTATAACATTTCGAGAGGGCTATCTCTCTCTCCCAATGGTGCCATGTGCCCAAACAAGAAGGACAGTATACGCAATCATTGTCCCGCATCGATGCAATAACAATCATCAATTGCAAATAACCATCCACCTCGCTCATAGCACATTGTTCTCATTATCTCTTGCGAGTGCTCGTTACGACTTATGCCACCCACTATAAGAACATCTTTCCTGTCGCGGCGAGCCATGGCTCGTTCTGTGATTTCCACGAGCATATCAAATAATGTTTCCTATAACACAGAGCAATACATCGAAAATCAATGAAATGGGATTTGTAAGTTATTTTACAGAATAATGGCAGTGGCATGGTGTACAACAATTTTATAAGTTTACTCAAAGTTTGACATCATCCGTTAAAGAGCACAACCCAACTCACAAACTCTGTTTTATTATAGAATGGCCCAAGGTTTATAAGAGCTGTACCTGAGATTTTCACCTCATACGATTCCTCGTTCAATTCTTTCAAAGTCATTGGATCATTTCCTCGTTCAAGAATCTCCTCTCTTCTTCAATTCAGTCCCGAAGAGTGATCAGGACCAATTCAATCATGTTTTCATTCATTTTGGAATTTGGGCTCTTCTGCGTCGCTTTTATTTACTTATTTTTCCCTATCTGTTTTGTTTTTTTTTTTCATTTCCATCATTCCTTAAGTCCCCGTCCAGCTCATAAATGGAGACAGAACCAAATCTAATGGTAAATATAAATTAACTGTCGAGAGTGTCAGCAGGAGTACACTTATTACTTTTTAGTTTATCCTCAACAATTGCTTCAATATAGCTTAAAATCTTGCTGAATGATACGTCCATCCCTTTCACAACATATGGGAGTTCGATAAACTTTTATACCTTATTTGCAAGTTGTGGATGAAGAAAATCAATAGATCAAATAAAGCACGTTATTACTGTTAACCCACACAATCGCATTTTATATTTAAATCGTGATTACTAGATATAACTTACAATATAACTCAATTTGTAAGTTTTGGTATTAAATAAATATATTTATTTTGTTTTATTGTTTTTAGTTGATGTATATTGCAAGAGAAAAGAGAGGTATGAGATAAAAAGGTAGAACAATAAAATAAGATTTGAAAAAGGAACAGTAAGAAATATAACGAAAAAAAAACCACCACACAAAATCAATAACAAAACCAAAAATACAAACAAAATTAACAAGCTATGAACTCGAAAAGATAAAATGACTCAACTATGAAAATAACTCTCAAGCCGACTTTATCAAAGTTCGACCTTCAAAATGAACACTATCACGCCAAGTGAAGTACGAACATAAACATCACTCCGAATAAGATGTAATATAATCGAAACTAGGAAATATATACTCCATAGATTATGAAATTACGTACTCGTCCGATAAATATTTCTTTTATATAAGAAAAATCATTGAAAACTAATGCTAGGTTAATTATTACTCAAATAGAGTATAGAATGTAAAATCATTATTATCAAAAAAACCAAGTAGTAAAGTCGTATTAATTTCATACAAATTTCTCATAAATCTAATTAGACGTTGTATTAAAGTTATTTTAAATAATTTTATAAAAGAATTATCAAAAAAATTAAAATAATAATAATGCCACATAAAAAGTACAATTTAATAACTATCGTTTTCACATTTTCATCTTTCAAAGAACACAGAACGAAATCTCGTTACCATTTTACCCTATAAAGAAACTTAGGCTTACCAAATTTTCTTATTTCCAAGACACTGACTAAGAAGAAACACACAATTTTAGATCAGAGTAAAAAAATGAATAAAAAAATGTCAAAAGATTCAATTTTGTAATTGTGGCCCAATATTTTGGGATTTAACAAAACAGCCCCGGCCCCCATGTTTCGATGGCTTCGAAAGTGGGCATTTTAGCATGAAGATTTAACAAAAGTGGACATTCACTAAATAAATAAAAACATATTTATTTCTTATTAATTACCAGATCACCCCCACTCTTTTCTTTATTCCAACACAGGCAGAGTAACAGAGGCATCGTCGTCGTCGTCGTCATCAGCATTAAGCTGAAGAGTCAAAGCCCTCAAGCCGCGAGACCCTTCTTCTCCTTCACGAATTCCGCCATTTTTGTGCTCTCCAAACTGTACGCAAGCTTTTTTTTCTTTTTCTGTTTTTACATCTCTCCGTGGCTCCCAAATCTCACACAGTTACGCCATCCAACTGAAATCCCCATATTGTTTTCCCCATTCTGGGTTCTACAAGTCTTCTTCTTGTTTTCCATCTTCTGAATCACGTAAAAAACCCTTGCTCCATTGCGTACTCGTACCCAATTATTCACTCCCAGAGGAACCGGCTTGCTGCGTCGAACCCGGGATCAGGTTTTTCCCTAAACCCTAGTTTCCGTCTGGGCATATTTGTATCTTCAAATTATGTTATTTGATTTGATGCGTTTATGTACCGTGGGTATTTTGTGTGACTTTGAATTTTCCTCAGATCAGGCGTCCTTTCCCTCGAAATTTAGGGTTTATAGCAGCTCTTACGAACTGTTCGCGAGTTTAGTTTTGTTTAATCTACTTGAGCGTAATATTCTATATTTATTATTATGGGGGTTATTCGAGCTGATTAGAGCTTATTGGGTTTTATATTTAGTATGTCTTCGAGCCTCTGTCGACGAACTTCATATTATGGGCAACATCTTGGCTCATTCTTCAAGAGTCAGGGTGTTCCTCTCTTATCTTAATGTGTCACGCCAACTGTAGTTTACTTCACTCAGTCTTGGTGCATGTATTTTATATCAGCATTGTCACTTTATGCCTGTTAATAATTAGAATAATCTTCAGTTCACAAGACATATTCTGGATTAAAATTTAAACTGCAAACTTATGGACTGCAGATTTAGATGGATGCGATGTAGTTTGTAAACTATGACAGAGGTATATTTTTGCAAGGCATATTTTTAAATGCAACCGTGTGTCTACTTGAATTGCATTGTGATAGTCTTTGACAAGATATGTCAAATTCTGGAACCGAGTTCGTAATACATTGAAATGTGCAGTCATGCAAGCAGAGTTTGCGACAATTTGTGTTGTTTATGATACATCGCTCGCACTGCTGCTGTATATTTATAAGATGTTCTATCGATACATAAGTTTGTCCAGTTTATTTGAGTCCATTCTTGGTGGCTTTCGGGTCCTCCTTTTTCTAGACAGAGGAATTATTTTGTCTATGCCTGTTTTTTTTGCTATTTTGTGGGTTACTTGGCTCAAGAGGAACAACATAGTTTTTAGGGGTTAGAGAGATATTGGGAGGATATTTGGGAGCTTGTTAGATTTAATACCTCTCTATGGGTGTTGGTTGCAAAGGTTTTTTTGTAATTGTTAGGTAGATGTTTTTCTTTTGGATTGAGGTCTCTTTTTTAAGGTCAGTCCCCTTTTTTGGGCTAGTTTTCTTTATACACCCTTGTCATTCAGTTTCTCATTAAAAAAAAAAAAAACTCATAACTTTTATACCTAAAGTTGTATGCAATGCATATCTGATTCCTTGGACTCGGCTTCATACACAGTTGATAAGATCTTGAATTCCAGAACATGCATCCTAAGTTTAAGTTTTTTGCTATTGATTGAACTCGACTAGATTTTGAATTACTCAGTTGAATCTGCACAGATGAAGAATTTGCAACTGGTTCCTACACTTTTCTATACACCTTCTTTGGTAGGACAGAGATGTAAGTTTTTTTGATGTGGTCTGTTTGGCACAGCTTTATATAGCCGACCGATGCTGACGGAAGTATGCAGTTGATGGTTGGGAGAAATGCAAAGGTATCATCCT